ATGGGAAATGCTTTTTTTGCTTGTGTGCTGTGTGCTGTGTGCTAATTATATTGACATCAGCAGTACATGACGTTAGTCGTCAACAGAATGTCTGGCAGCAGAGAGACAAGAAGATCGAACAGTAAAGAATGGAAACAGAATGTAATTTGTATGAAAATGCAAGAACAATGAAGTCTGAGACAATTTGATGAACATTTTGCAAATTAAGCATTTACTTTATGATTGTTAGGTTTTATTAACAAGTCCTGTGATTTTGTGTCAAGTACGTTCGATTGTCCCCACTCGTCTTCTTATTTACTACACTTGTACTTGTCAACAAGACGTATTTACACTCTCAAAAGAATTAGTGCTTCGATTAAGATCAGGACTCACGTCACCCAGCTCCTTAGTCTGAGACGTCACCATTCAGTCGCTTTGGATCCAAGTTAGGCCTCAAAATACAACATCAAAATCCCTCAAGAATTCAGATACGTCTTGCTAACAAATGAAAGGTTCTGCATGATTTAGGTCTAAGGTATCTTATCGACTACCTTCAACCAATTATTATCAAAACATAGTACATCTGATATCGAGTCACTTGGACTAGAAGTCACATTCAAAACTGACCGATATAATTCTATCGAAATCAAAGACTAGACGAACTTGACATTGGTTACCATTCAATAATCAAACTTTAAATTATTCATAGTTTGTGAAAATTATATTTGAAATAGTCTCAGCGACTGAAATTTAAATAATTAAGACGTTCTATCCAGAAAACTTGCCTGGACTTCTTCAGTGCAATGATCACCAAAATATATCAACAATATAACCAACATCTTATGTCAACTACCGATAACCCAAATGTACACATAAACACACATTATCACATATTAATTTATGTTCATAGTGTGAACTTTTCATATGATTCACGTTTAACTGACTCACGTTACCTTACAAACGAAAGTCAACATCTGACACGAATGAATAAATACAATATAGATTTTATTTGACTATTAAACATTATGATTTTTGATTATTACCCTTGAGAACTCCAGACAAGTTCACTAGACAAAACGTCGGAATTTTCTAAACTCCAATCGCTCAGATGATTTCCAATTTTTTTCACTCGGCGCCAAAATATTTACGAATATTAAAAACCGATAAAAAGACTATAAGTTTAGTAAAACCTAGGATATATTTACAATGTACATACTATATTACAGTGTGGATTAAGCCAGGAAGTCTAAACGATCAATTATTGATTCACTGGTTCAAAGTATTATGTCAGCTACGAGACCTGTAGGTTATGGGCTCGATTCTGTATAAAACCCTGGATCTTCACCGTTCAGGAGTCCTGAATTTAGGTGAAACAGTTGTCCAGCACTCCCTTGAAGTCTTTGTCGTAGCTGTTGTTTATTAAAGTAGTTAAACATAAATTTTCTATAAGGGTATTGAAAAATCCATAAAAGGATCTGATGTTTTTCAATGTGTTGTGGAAACTTTCTCGTCACTCAACTCCATCTGGAACTTACTATGCAATCTAACGAAGTCATAACATGAATGAGTAAAATGAACCTTAATTACAGAATAATGGAAAAATTTTAATTATATGAATTAATTGACTACTGAGTAGTGACCAATATCTTGTACGTCAAGTCCCTCTTAGTGCTAGCTGAATTTTTTCGACCGAATTACAATGTGGCCACTAGTCTAAGTGACATGATATCGTGCACTTCATATTAGGATGTTAGATGGTGGGTGGGGGTAGTCAACAGGAAACCTTGCATGAACGAGGTCTCGTTCTATGTGGCACTTGTAACTAAGGCGTAATCTTGAGGGATAATGTGCTCTCAAATGGACTCTGTTTAGTGTCGTCCATCCCTCAAAAGTACTTAAACACTTATGACAAGTTTCAAATAAAAAGCAACCCAGATCCATGATTTCCAGTCGAGTACCTCCAGACACTACCTTATGACTTAACTGAATATTTGAGGAAATACTTTTATTTTAGCAAAGCAATTTTACGTAAATGCATATCTAGTAAAATAGTACGATATTTTCGAGGAAAGCAGGTCATCTTTTCAACTATTGTAGTAACCAAAACTTTTATGAAAAGAGATGAATTCAATTCAAACACACTATCTCGCGCACTTCTCATAGTAGAGGTTGAAAAGATAGAATTCAACGACCCACGTTAAATCCTAACTACAAAACTACTTAGATAAAAGAATGCTTTGTATAAAGATCAATAGTAACCACACGGGTTAGAGGGTCCCAACATCGGGAATTTTACGATGAACGTCTATAGATCTTCTGTTTTTAATCTCTATTAATAATCTGCTGGACTAACAGAAGACCTGAATGTCAATATAAGGCGGTCAGAATTCACTTGAGCTTCAAAAGGACTTTACTGAAATAGAGGGATGATGAGCACACAATGGGTCAAAACTCAACTTGTCAAAATGTTGTGTAATGACCGCTTGCCTCACTTGATACCAAGCACTTGCATTATCCAGAGAAATCCGCTCCCGATTATCTCTTCAAAGAGTGATATCACGCTTGTAACCACGAAGAGTTTAGACACCAGCCTGAACTACATGGGGGATGCAGCCAAGTTAAACGCACTCCACTACTTTATGTGGAGACAGCTAGGAAAAATCACCCCAACCACATTATAATAATATCATTATCGCACCTCTTGAGGCAACCCTCGGAATGTTGTACAACGAAGAGCAAACACCCAGGTGTGCTCTTACGTTTACCAATCAATGCTCTCTCAGTTAAAGTGAACGGAGCACCATCATTGGATAGCCTTGAGAGAAGGCTTGACAAGCATGTACCTACCTGCTGACTATCTTCTTCTTCTTGGATCAGCTGTGTCTCATGCATTTCTCACAAATTACGACGTTTATCGTTACCGCATATCTGTAACTACTTCCTAAGTCTCTCATTATCATCCGCTTATACCCTCTTTTTTTCCATATTACGTCTTCTTATACTGTCTACATTACCAATTGGTTGGTTCGTTTATTTACCTACCAACTTATCTACATAATATTTTTTGAAACAACAGTTTCCATGGTGGTCTAGCTCCAACTGACTCATGATCTTAACCATTGAAATTACTACAATCTCCACAAAACCCATCTGATATAAAAACTACTAAAATGACTAGAATTTGTGCAGTCGAGAGAATGAACTATCACCAATTGGACATTCTCAAATACCCGGAACTGTAATGAAATAACAAGGAGTGAACTCAAAAGAATCGATCAGTTTATACAAGCTCGTGTCATAGATATTGGATATAAGACTGAAGAGATCATTTTCGAATATTCAAGGTCAGAGTAAGTAAAGCAGCATTCAGTTGTTAGTTATCTTGCGTCTAGCCTAAAGATGTCTTGCGTGTTTAGAGAGCATGAAAAGCAGTAAATCTGAGTTAATTTAGGATGGAAATTTACATAAAAACAGTCTATAGGAATTGGTAATAACACAAACGTATGGTTAAGATAGTCTGAGAATGAAAACTAAAGTTTGGTATCGCATTGTTTTAAGTAGTGATTAGCCGTACACCGTTTGTTTAGTGCTCAGTAACTAAAATAACAGTCCCTTGTAGACGTGCTCCCGCTTGTTTTCTAAAGCTGCGTAAAATATTTCAGCATGATTTTTGAGCTTCTCAGTTTTAAGTAAATCAAGAATCAGAGCCTAATCTCCCTGTTTTCAAGAAACTTTTGAGGGCTTCCTTAAACTTTGGCGAAAACTTCAAAGTCGGGGGATCGGGAGTATCTCTACCCCAATACAAAACTTGGAAATCAATGAGTCTACAAGTGAAAGATAAATTGGGACATCCATACAACATCGTCCTCCTTTTTAAATCATATCTGTGTAATAGCAGCAGGCAAAATTAATGGTTCTGACAAAGCTCACCTGCTTGAGTGAAACTCATATGCAAAGGCTTGATATTTCGGTTTATCTGAATAACGTATCCAGACTACCATCCGAAGAGACTATATCTTATGCGCAAATCAACAAAATTAAGGACAGAAAGTCCTGGATTTTCATATGGCGGGATAAAAAGGCGAAATCAGATTTTCAGTCGTGATTTTTGGTGAAAATTATTGTTTCTTATACAATTTGATGACTATTTAGAGTAATATTTCCTCTCTGTTGTGATATTCTATTCGTTATAACACTAATTCATTTGAGTGTAATGTTTAATAATAATTTTCTTGTTATGTCCCAATGAGTGGAAAATTGTATTTCCGACGTTCCGTGACTTATACAAGCCGCTTCTTCAGAGTAAATGAATCAGTCAGTCAGTAACAACGTAGAACTCCGTACGTACCCACATCAGTTCGAGTTGCCGTACCACATTAGCACAGAGATGCATTTGTCGATTCAAATCCCGCAGCCATGTAAGTGATGCCCACTCCGAGGCAGCATGGAATGATACCCGAAAAGCTGTGGAAATAGCAGTGATATCTACTAGTAAGGTAAACCATAAAGTTAGGGGAAAATACTGGATCTCAGCAGCATCTACCGCACTGATAGGTGCTCGAAAACTCATCCCTTTCTGGCTCTGAACATGACGAAGAGCGAAGTCAGGCTGATAAGAAGCCTGCGCAATGATCGCGCACAGTGGCGGGTAGCGAAAGCTCGAGATGGAAAAGGCAGTGGCAATGGGTAATAGCAGACAACTGTTCAGACTTGTCAAGGAAACCGGTATTAGGAACCCAACTGTTAGCGAGACTATCTCAGAAGAAGATGGATATATTATTCATTCTCAGTCCAGGAGATTGGATCGATGGGCAGAACACTTTAGGAATCAGTTCAACTGACCGTCAGCCACACTTCGGTTCCCCACGTTTTCCAGTCAACCGAAATAGCTGATATCACTTCCCGGTTTCCCACACCGTGGAAGGGTACTTCTTCAGGAAACTTAAAATGAAGTTAGATTAGTGTTGGTCTTAACGACCTGGTAGCGTTACCGCAGAGCCCAAGGGACAACTGCTTGAAGCCGGTCGCGCACGGCCTTTTTGTGGGAGGTTTTTGACGTTAGCTCCGTCCTTCAAAGGACCTTACCACCGGAGACGGAAATCCGTGAGGTAAGGTGTGGTGTGACATTTTTAGGGTCGACCTTTTCTAACCCCTTCCTCCCTTGTGAGAAGGCGGCATCGCTGCAGATCCTGGTTGTCCGAGGGAAACACCTTACTGCTGTCCCACACCTCTACAGTCATCAGTACGACTTCGCCCTCAGACCTTGAGTTGCTGCTTTTAATCTTGCCGTTCTCCAATCGATCTATCTGGCATGGTAGAACCTACAGGAACATATGTTCCATCCAATATAGCTCGGTTGGGTCATCGCGATAGGCAAGCCGGACCACCACGTCGAGGTAGCAGCTACGGTCGGGAGAGTAAATAAATAACTGATGTCTATTCGAGGTACGATATCCCCGTATTAAGTTAACATGAACTACGACCTGCATGACATGCAGGATGTGATTTGTTATAACGCTTGGTATTTTTCATATGTGTGGTTTTATTCTAATTAATAAACGAAATAGGTGTATGATCAATATATTAGTGTATTTTTGACTAGGTTCGTCGTCGTATTTTGGGGTCAATAAATTTTCGCTTGTACCAGTCTCGGTGTTCTTACTTCAATAATGCAATGAGAAGACGTAGTTTATCAGAATTATGTGATATATTTGCGCAATACATTTCGAACAATCTGATCACACATATACTTGTTAAGAACATTTATATATGAAAAATTAAAAGGTCAACTAGACAGGTTAAGGGTAAGTCATAACAAAGGAAAAAATATTAAAGTACACAAAAACAAATGTGATTACCACTCTGGACAGTAAATCAGTACTACCAGGGTAGGTTAAGTGTAAGTACAAATTGTTTTTGAACACATAAAGGGGGTTCTTACTTCACATCGTGGGAATTGCATTGGTTTATCGTTGTTTTTTCAAGTATAAATAATAAGCGACGCAGATACAACAGGTTTCGACGCTAAACTTATCTATACTTATATGCAAATAGCATCCCAGTATTATAGTTGTTGTCGATTTGTGGCGAAAACTCTTACTTTAATTCCTAACCCTAAATTCCAACTTTAAATCATAATCCTAATTACTCATACTAATTTCTAACCTATTTTTAACCTCACTAAGGTGATTTGTCTTAAGGTCACTTTCAGTCAGTCAGCTACAACGTAGGACCAGGCACATATGCATCGGTCCAAGTTGCCATACCGCATTAGCACAGAAAGATGAACACCGGATTCATAGGAGTGGTTAAGTCAATGGTGGTAATATATAAAAAAAGATTGCATATGAGGACATAGTACAGAAAGAAAGAATTAGTTCGTGGAAAGAAATATATGAAGCGATTTTAATCTCATGGTTTGTGGAAAGATGAACAGTGTATACACCGACGCCATTGTGACCGATTCTGGGCCGTGTCACACAGAGTTTCCAACCATTGATTACAATAGTCAAGTAGAACCCAACCAAGTAATCTGCATCTTTCAAAATGGTTCAGTCTAAAAGTCAGTGACTTCAAGCACTGATGCCACGTTTTGGTTTGGCCGCCCCTAACTTTCTTCCAACCATCCCGAACACCGGTTAGCTAAGTACGAGGAATAATAGGAAGTGAAGACGGAGGTTGATTATGAATACAGTGGTCTTGAGTGCTGTTAGAGGTATGAGGGCGGTTATCACTTCCCGGTTTCCCACACCGTGGAAGGTTTGTTCTGGAGGTACCTGAAGAGGAAATTGGATTAAAGGTGGTCTTAGTGACCTGAGAGCGTGACTGCAGTGCTCAAGGGACAACTGCTTAAGGTCGGTCACACACGATCTTTTTATGGGTAAATTTTGTGTTAGCTCCGTACTTGCTGAGACCTTACCGCCGGAGACGGATATCCGTAGGATAAGGCGAGGTATGCATTTTTAGAGTCGACCTTTTCTAGTGGCTTTATCTGAGAGTGGGTCAGTGGTTCCTTATTCTCAGAGTTACTTCCACTAGAGACCGACTTTCCAACCTTATCCCAATATTACCTATAGTCTATGTGTGTACCCCTAATGATACTCATGATGCCCATTACTCCCCTCATTTATCTTGTTCAAACCTGATTGAAATAGATTTCTAAACATTTAGTGTTTTCGTACTAGCTGCGTTAACCCAATGACCTTTACTATAATCTAGCTAAGACTTACCACGATTCAACTTGTACTTAACACCTGGTTTATTGGTAAACTGATTATTTATTTATTTTATTTAAACACAAACATAGGTACAAGAAGGCACCAAATAAATATCCGCCACATAAATCATTCGATTTGTGTGAGGGCTCGAATACTGCCCGGGCGCACAAACCGAGGCAGATGGTCTTCTTGGAGGGCCACTTCCCGAGCCTCTGACCTAGAGGTCTAATCCATAAGGCAGTGGAGCAACGTCAAGAGATGCAGTCCCATGGTAGCCGTTGGTCAGCTATAGGTTCATACTCAATTTTTCCCTTAGGATCCTGGGACCCATGTGCACTATTGGTTTGGAATCAGGGTTTCCCAATTCCCATAGATAGATCCTCTACATCAGTTAACCCGGTTAAAACGCCGGACATTCGCTTTTCGTCCTCTCAATTTTATAAATAACACCCCCACTGTGAGAAGATAGTGAGTAGAACTTCCCTGACACTGGCTGTATACGCGTTGCCATGTGAGAGCATTTCAAGAGAGGGTAGAATCTCCCCACCCTCGACCGTACCAGGTCATTTGGGGTTGATTTTACTTTACATTCTATACGTGTGATCATCTCATAGGCCTGCCGGACTGCATCTACAAGTGAAGCTCATGAAAATTGGTGAGTTCTTGTTGACCAGTTTCATTTTCATTCTGTATGGTATCTCAATGCAGTTGTTTTTTTGTTCAGGTTTTTTAATGAAAATAGCAGATGTTGAACAGTGCGCCTTTAATTCATGGTATCACACTTTTGAATCTTACACTCAAGAAAGGTACACTATGTAAATGATATCACTGATAAATTCTCCTACAGTATATTTATAAATCTCCCAGATGACCTTATAGCTTCATTGACAAATGACGAATTCATTCTCCCTAAAAGGTAATTACCGTAAATATATTGGAAACTAGGTAGTTTTGATTCATTCTCTTATTTCCTCTCTAAATAACCAATTAATTATATGGTTAGACTAAAACTAATGAGCTAGCCATGCCTGTTAAATTTCTCCCACCTATCTAAATTCATTCTTGATTTGTCTGCCACTTTTTGTGCGGTCCCTCGAATAATTTGAAAGCGAAAGCAAAACTAGTAGCTGGGAAAATGTATATTTTCTGCAATAAAATGACTCGCTCATACACAAAAAATGACATGGCAAAATACGACAGACTATTCGAGGAAATTAGTTTCCAGACCACTCCCTCTTGCGCATCGTATTATACATTTTGTTTATTTTTGAAACATACCTAATTCCTTTTATGTCTGGCGCACTCGTGTGCTACTACAACTTGGGCAAACGAACTAAGACATACAAATGGTCATACATGTTGATCGGATTAACAGTTCACTGCGATAATCATGTGTAGTGCATTGCAATATCTAATTTCCAATAAATGATTAAATATAACAGAAGTTACTAGATATCATTACGTAGTACTTTGCGACATGAAGATGGTAGGCGAAGAAAAAATGAAGACAATATAGCATAAAACAAATACAATAATGCTATATTATTACTATTTCTATTAGGTGAGATTTAATGTTATGTTGTATATACACTTTTCATAGTCCTAGTAAATTCTGTGTAGAAAATAAAGTTGCTGCTCTTTATTCTTTAAATTTAGGTTGTTGTACTTTCCATTTACCAACCAGTAATGTTTAATTATTTATTTAAAATGCCGAGCTTAGCACGTCTTTGTTACAAACTATAAATATTCTGCCTCTTTGAATGTATGTTTTTAGTGCAAAACCAACAAACGGACATCTGTCGGACCTAGACAACGACGTGAGTTACAAAAACGTTTTTTTCATGCTACTTATAAAATGCATAGTAGCCCAATCGTTAAGCTTTACGTCCCATATGTTGTTCGGGGCCAAAATATTACTTGGGTAGCATAAATAAATCAGACGAAGTGGGTTTGAATCCACGTTGAATGCTTGAGATCCGAGTCCATAAACAATTGAACCGCATCTTTACGATCAAATATGATATTGTATTCAGCTTTAGTCAGGATGAATCATTATGTAAAGTTGTGTTACGATATGCTTTAACTAGTTTTGGATGTCTGTGCAATCGTTTACTGCGTGACTTTTGGTCAGCGATTTGTTACATCGAACTCCTTAAGGGATACATGATTGTTTACTGCATAACAGTAATTTAATACCCAGTTTCCTGCCCTCAGTAAGCATTCATAACCATTTAAACTTGTTTATTCTATTTATTTATTTACTTCGAAAAAGTTGTTTATATTGTCACAAAACGTCGGAAATACAATTTTTCTACTCACTGGGATATAACTGCCGATTCCAAGCTCTGGTAAAGGGGTAGGGTTGAGCATAGGGTCGGTAACTCCATCCTGTTAAAAAAAAACCTTGCTAAAAAACGCCAACCAGAAGAAACAAATTAAACCATTTGAACTCTGACCTGGGAGTTGAAAGAAGAATTATGACGCCTCGTGATGAAATTCGAAATTTTTCCAACGTCACGAGGCTGTCGCTCCTTCTAACAACCACAACATTAATTAATACAGGTACATAGAATGTCTGGACAATGTGGAAGATCGGGAGAATCAGTCAAATATCAACGAAAATGAGGCGATACAACTTAACAGTACTCGGAATGAGCGAAACGTATTGGACCCAAGCTGGACAGCAAAGGTTAGATACGGGAGAGATGCTGCTGTACTCTGGTCACAAAAAAGATGCTCCGCACACTCAGGGAGTTGCTCTGATACTATCCAAAGTAGCACGAAATTCACTTACAGGATGGGAATTTCATGGGTCCAGGATCATCAAAGCATCATTCAAAACAAAGAAGGGAATCACAATGAATGTTGTCCAGTGTTATGCACCGATCAATAATAGCAATGAAGACAATGAAGATCAATTTTGTGAAAGGCTGTAATCGATCATAGCGAAGTGCTCAGGAAAAGACATGACAATCCTGACGTAAGACTTAAACGTCAAGGTCGAGATGGAAAACATCGAGTAAGAAGATATCATGGGACAACATGGACTGACTAGAAAAAAGGAACGAAAATGGTGAGAGATTTTCAAATTTATGTGCATCCAACAAAATGGTTATAGGTGGCACAATATTCTCCCTCAAACGCATACACAAAGCTACATGGATCTCACCAGATCACACTACAAAGAACCAGATTGATCATATTTGCATTAGTAAAAAATTCACAAGGTTAATGGAGGACGCGTTAACCAGGAGAGGTTTAATACAGCCTTCCTTCGACAGACTGACAAACTCAACGAATTTAAGTTAACTCTCAACAACAGGTTCCAAGCTGCACAGGATCTACTAAAAGAAGAAACTACTATGGAGGACAACTAGAAAGGGGTCAAAGAAGCACTAACTTCAACATTTTAGGAGGTGCTGGGAGGCAAGAAGTATCATGATAAGGAATGGATCTATAGAAACCCGGGACAAGATTGAAGAAAGGAAGATCAAGAAGACAGCAATTAACAACAGTTGAACAAGAACAGAAAAAGTCAAGGCAAAACTGAAAACACAGAAGCAAATAAGCAAGTGAAGAGGAGCCGGCAAACAAAAATACGTGAAAGAGCTAGCAGCGACAGCGGAAAAAGCTACAAAAGAAGGAAATGTGAAACGACCATATGACACAACGAGGAAACTGGCAGGGAAATATAGTAAACCAGAGAAAGCAATCAAGCACAAATAAGGTAAGACAACCACCGAGATTCAAGAACAAAGGAACAGATGGGTGAAATACTTCAAGGAACTTTTGAAAAGACCACCTCTATTGAATCCATCAAACATCGAAACAGCACTTACAGACCTTCGTATAGTTGTCACCCCACCGACGATCGAAGATATCAGGATGGCCATCAGATAAATCAAGATTGGGAAAGCAGCAGGATCTGACAAAAATACCAGCTGAAGCACGAAAGACAAACATAGTAGTAACTGCAAACATGCTCCGCATCCTATTCAGGAAGATTTGGGAGGAAGAACGAGTACTGACGGACTGGAAAGGAGGACACCTCATCAAGATACCAAAAAAAGATCCAAGCAAATACGAGAATTACAGAAGCATCTCAATACTGTCAGTACCAGAAAAGGCTTTCAACGGAGCGTTGCTGAACCGGATGAAAGACCCAGTAGACGCACAAATTCGAGATCAACAGGCTGGATTCCGTAAGGATCGGTCGTGCACAGACTAAATCGCGATACTACGGAGCATTGTTGAACAACCAGTTAAATAGAGCTCGTCACTGTGCCTCAACTTCCTTGATTGTGAGAAAGTATTTGATAGTGCAGATAGGAGAACATTATAGAATCTTCTTCAACACTATGGAGTTCCTGAGAAATTTGTCAATATCATCCGGAATTTATACGACGAACTGCAGTGCGAAGTCGTGAATGGAGAAAAGCTGTCAGACATTCCAAGTGAGGACCGCAGTCGGACAAAGGCTGCTTAGACTCACCCTTTCTATTTCTTCTGGTGGTCGACTGGATTATGGATGCCTCGACATCTGAGAGGGAACGCTGAATACAATGGATAGCTCGGAATCAATTAGAATATTTGGACTCCGCAGATGACCTGACCCTTCTATTCCATACACATGAACAAATGTAGATGAAGACAACTAGTGTAGCGGCAGTCTCTGCACCAGTAGGTTTCAAGATACACAAAGAGAAAGGCAAGGTCCTCAAATACAACACGGAGAACACCAATCCAGTCACACTTGATGGGGAAACTCTGGAACAGGTGGGAACATTCACGTATCTGAGTAGCATCGTCGATGATTAAGGAGGATCTAATGCAGAAATGAAGGCAAGGATTGGTGAATCAAGGGCAGAAATTTTGTAATTGAAGGACATATGGGACTCAAAACAACTGTCAACATACATCAAAGTCAGGATGTTCAGTACGAACATCAAGACAGTTCTGATGTACGGAGCTGAAGCTTGGAGAACTATCACAACCATCATCATGAAGGTACAAGTATTTATGAAAAATTGTCTACGTAAGATACTTAATGTCCGTTAGCCGGATATCATCAGCGACAGCCTACTGTGTGAGAGAACTAACCAGCTTCCACCAGACGAGGAAATTAGGGGAAGACATTGGAGGTGGATAGGATATACTTTGCGGAAATCATCAGACTGAATCATGAGGCAAGCACTAACTTGGAATCCTGTAAGGAAACGAAAAAGCGTAAGACCAAGAAATACACTGCGTCAGGAATCGGAAGCAGACATGAAAAGGAGTGCCCAGGACAGAGTTAGATAGAGAAAAGTGAAAAGTCTGTGCTCCTCCACGAGGGGTAACAGGCATAATTAAGTATTAACCTGTCTACTCAATGTTCAATTTATTTTAAACTATCAAATCTAAGCTTGGTATTGATACCATTATCGTGTTTTACTTATAATCGTCTCATATTTTCTTAAAAAGTTTTAATTGTTATAATTTCAGGGCATTTGGTCAGACTATTCCGATACTGATGAAAAGAACTCAGAGGTAATTATCACCCAACAAAATTTGAAAAATATTGCGTTAAGAGACCAGAATTTCCTCAGTTCGAATCTCAGTTGAAAAGTATCATCCGGAAGTTAGGTGGTGTTGTATTTCCGAAGTTAAATTGGAGCGCCCCATCTGTAAGTGTTGTATTTCAACATATTTAATTGCTATAGGATGCATCTTGGATGTCTTTCGATGGGTCACTGAAGTGCAAAACGTTTTCCGATATTTACCTACTCCTTAAATCTTCAGATTTCGCAGCACATGACTTGACTGCTCCGTAATGTGTATATTTATACAAACATAACGACCGATATTTTGCGTTCCTTTAGTTTCGCTCTGTGTACAGATACTCCAGCAGAGAAAAATTGCTGTCTTTTCAATTCCAAACCGATTCTTGTTCTACGAAGGTGGTATGACTTTCGTCCTGAGGAAGAATTTCGATGTTTCATTAAATCAAAAGTCCTTATTGGTAAGTTAATCGTAGTGTTACGTCCTTGTGTGTTGTTTGCCCTATTATTTTATATGAGATTTAAGTTGTCATACATGCTGTAGGAGTCGTAAAGATCCGAACTAGACTTTTATGTTAGTCAACATACACCATAATCCTAGAAATCAGTGCAGCTCAGTAATATACGAGATAATGGACTACATATGTTTTATACGAATCAACAGCAGATGGGGCAAGCTTTTATCGACAACAAAATGCCTTTGATACTAAGTGTCTATACTGTATTATTATCCTCAGGTTACAAATTAGTATTGTCAAGTTTGAAGTTTGTGCAACAATGAACCAGTTGTTAAATTTGGCAAGTAAATTTGTTACTTTTGTCCATTTATCATCCTGAATTATTCTGATGCACTCAAGAGCATAAAAGAGAGTCCTTAACTTCTCAAGGCTTTGTCATATAGCCTTTATGTTAATAAAAACACCCGACACGTAAACTTAGTTGGCAGGCATACAGACCTCTTCGAGGAATTCGGAAACTTATTTGAAATCAGTGTTGTAAACGAGCTCCGGAGTCCTAAGTGCTCCTAATCCCCTTAGTAGTCACTTTTTGAAGACTTACACTCAGTGTTGTGTGGGACTCAGATATCCTAAGACTACGAGTGCCATTAAAGCATTCCTTAGTTAACGTTTACATCTTGTTATTTGTTATGACTCGTCAAAATGTCATGTGACAAAATTCCCAATCCGAACACCGACTTATGTAACCTTGACCCTATGTTAAACCAATGGTGCGTTAACCAGCACGAGCAGTCTTGATTCAACTCTGAGTCCTTATTGGTCCTCTGTATAGTAACTTTTCGCCTAGCCCAGCCCGTTCAGTCCCGAACACAAATAAAAGCCTCCACTGTATGAATCGTATATTTCAGACATAATTGGTTTTGGATACCCGCAAATGAGACCGCATCATACCATAACATGAAGAATAATAATTATACAAGATCAAGCCAAAAGTGGTTGTATGGGATACTGTAACTTATAAATTGGGAATAAGTTGAGAATGGTAAATCGTATAACATTAGCCAATAGGCGAAATAAAACGTTATGATAAAAGGAATACTAATATATATATATATATATATATATATATATATATATATATATATATATTTGATGAACACTGCTTAGGAACTCCATCATACTATAAGACAACTGTTTCATGGATCTTTGTTTCGAACTGCTCCCTATTTAATGTCGTTCCATGCAACATACTGCATTTCTTAGTGTTCAGCATGACAAATTTTCTACCAACTGAAATGTCAGTTTAAAACAAAAATACAAACTTAGTCGCCCATAACTTACGACGCGCGAACGCCGAACCTCTAGACTACTGATCCCAGCAGCGGTGTACACGTTAGTTCACGATATGGCGCAGACATTTTTTGTTGTAAGCATGATGATATAGTATTCCAATTTTTCGTTTACTATGTTCTTATTTCCAATCCTCAAGCAATTTCCCAACGAAAATGTGATGCCTATTTCAAAATAATTGAAGAACAGATAGAAAACATCAAATACGACCTTGTGGAATTCTTTAATCGAAAAATAAGAAATCATTTCAAATCAGAAAACTGTAAATTTTAGTTTTTTTTAAAAATATTGTTTTAATTCATTTATTAATCTAGATACAGTTGACTTATACAGAGAATCATCGGTAAGTGATTTCTTTCCTAGTGTTATTCTCTTCTTTTTAACTTATGTATAGGACGATGGTAAAATGCGTATTCAAATAATTGATTTCAATGTATTTGGTCCACCAACTGAAGCACTTTTATTTCAGTGGTCGGAATTGGAAAATGATGTACATGAAAATGTGAGTCTAATTAACGCTAATTTTATAGTATACTTCGGTTTATATGACAGCGTAGTTGTTCAAACGCTAGTTTTACGGTTAAGGCATTCGAATACCAACCAACAGGTAGCAGGTCCAAGTCACACTCCACCTTTTTGAGTCCAGGCACCGAGGTAATATTACCATCTCTCTCACATAAAGTGCAGCTCAAGCCGAATACACGAATCTATACTTGTTAAATGAATGGTATCATATTAAAATGAAAAGTTGCAGCCTAAGACTTTAGGTGGGATTTGAAATTCAACCCATTTTAAATTTAGCTTATTCTTACTTCATCTCCCTTTCCATGCACAACTAGTGCAAGTTCACTCTTTGTCAGACTGGATAACACTCACTAAGGCCTGAGAATCTTGTGTTGTTGGTGTATCTTTTCTCTAAAACCCATATACAGAACCCAAGTGACCCTAACGAAAAGATGTGGGGAATTCGTACGATCCGTCTTTCGCCTACCAGGATACTCGTCAATGACGTCTGACGATCTTCCAGGTGTAAATATAGAATTAAGTATGGAAACATAACAGCCACTCCTAGAATTAATTCTAGTTGACAGTTACTTGTGTGCTGATTAAATAAATGGGAAAACAAGAATGTAAACGAATTTTTCCGTTTTATTTAATACACATATATACTATTACAATGGAGTGCCAAAGTATGTTCCACACACGGAAATGCTTTGGCATAAACAGTAGTGAGCATCAGTAAGTGTAGCACTAAAGTTTATTTTTCAAAAAAAAAGAACAATATCAGGGAGTCAACTGTTAGTGGGACTATCTAGAAAAAAGACGGTATAACAGTTCAAAATAGGCGACTGGAATAACAAGAGGGAAGCCTTGAGGTACTGCTCTACAACAACCCTCCAGTTGCCTGCTACTGACTACGAACCTAAATAGAAGACTCATTAGTCTCCCGACTCTAAAAAACTTCATGAGCGACATAACCTAAGACGTTGGGTGGCACCAAAACCTGGTGTTATATTTCAGATGTTCTTAAAGATATGTGTATGAAACAATCATTGAAATTGACTGAGATACTAAGTATAGTCTAGATGCTTACAGTTATCTCGTCAGACTAGTCGTGATCGTTGGCACTTTCGATCCATAAAAAGGATAGAAATCTTGTGATTATCATCAGAGAATCATGTTGATTGAAATCTTTTTTTTAAATAACGGCTGTCATAATTATCCAGCACACAAAGAAAGCGCGATAGTAGTAAACCTGAAAACATCAGGCGAATTTTCGACTTATCACAGCTTTTACAGATAAATAACGCTAGAGGCGCTATCAACAAACCACCACATTGATGTGGAGTGGTACATTTAATGAAAAATCACTTCATTATCATCCGTATTTTGTTGATAGGATACTATTCCGTTATTTCGCTACCAAAGTGACCAAAATATCCGTCCAAATTCAGTGAATCAATACAGCGTGCCAATCGATTTGATCGATATTGCTTCAGGATCTGATCCCGTTAAGGTGATGGACTTCATTCAAGCTGTAAGTCCGGAAACATACAGTTACTCATCTATTGTTTTTCATATAAACAGTACAAACGTAAATCTTTGTTATTGATAGCGACATCCCTTATTAATGACACTGGAAATATCACTAACTACTACTGGTATCCTCTCTAAAAGGTTATGTTTCATTGTCAATGCATTTCTAACATTCCTTTTACTTACCCACCATTGTCACGCTAGTTCCCGACGTCTTTACATTCTTTAAAGGTATCAAGATATAACGAGTTTAAAGTTGTTTTACGTCCTTGATCTGTCTACCCAGTAATATACAGGAGAGAACTTGTCTCGATCTAGGTTAAGGCTTTAACACGATAGCTTAACTGTTTTAACCTTGAGGCTAGAAATGCATGAGTCTGAATTGAGACTAAAGGCCTTTACCAGAGAGGGGAAGACTATTCCATAACCTGATTGGTTGGCTTCAATTTTTCCGGATCAGGGCATGTTTCGTAGCGAACAAGTAGTAATTTCCTCATAGTCATACCTTTTTAACAGAAAGTTATTACGTCTAACCACTATGTAGTAAATATGATGCATTACGTACGCGGTGTTGTTATATGGATTTTATTTGGAAGCTTTGTGGTTACTACCTTTTATTGGCTTTTGTGAAACAAGTAATGTCACGCGTGAGGTCGGTCACCATTAACTACTTATGAACAAATGATCCGAAGTACAGAAGTCATATTTATGGTAGTGTCAACTATATGAAGTTACCCAATAGTGATCACATTCTTTTTCCCTTCATTTGGAAGAACCAAGTTGACAACATACCTATAACGAATTAGGGCTGTATCGTATGATATGCGAAGTAACCGAATAGTCCAAAGTTGTAATGACAATGTTCTCGTTCTAACAACAAATTGATAATAAACTTTTTGTGGAAATGTCTTTCAAAAGATATTTATCTTATTATACACTAAAATACTATAACCTTTTGTCACCCGTTTTGTTTTTTGTCTCATTCCACAGAAAGTAGAAAGTCAGAAACAGTCGTGAAATTGTATTTTCTATGTATCTGTTATTTTTCAATATTTCGAATAAAAAAATACATTTTTCTTAGATCAAGCTGGTAATTATTTTTTTTTCTTCGAAGTTTTTGAAACCTTAGTAGGCTTTTTCCTAGCTGGCGACTGTTGCTTTGAACTATATTTCTGTGCAATCTTATCCAGAAAGTTTTCTGATGATTTTAATGCATTTTCATGTCGTGCTTGAATTGCCTTAGCTAATGTATCCAAATCTTCGTTAACATCAACTATCTGTTTTTTGTTTTTACTGTTCTGTTCCTTTGCAAACAACTTTTCTTCCTCTAGTGCTCGTTTAGCTCTTCTCTTTGCTTTCTCAGGTCTTTCATGTGTGTACTTCGTATATGCATCAATTTTACCACTAGATATCAATTTATCAATAAGACCGCGAACTCGACTTTCATCTCGATATGACGTGAGCATTAAAGACTCCATTATAATATCCATATCACCTTTAGAGCGATTGTAGATCTTGACCAAATCTTCCGTTTCCTGTTCACTTCCTTTATACTTTTTACAATAGTCATCTATTTGTGCAGTTGTGATTTTAGGAAACAAAAGTTGCCAGTATTTAACCCAATCATCATATGATTTGCCTGTGATCTCATCGTCTTCATCGATAACACCTAAAAATTAAGATTATTCTATTTTTATAAATCGAGAACCAACCTGTCTCATCATAGACTTTACGTTTCTCGTCATCTTCCATGTACGAATAGACTCTAGACAGTACTTGGAAACGTTTTGTCGCCTCTGACTTTGAGTCACTGTCATGGCGATCAGGATGATGAAGTAAAGACAATTTATAGAAAGCTTTACGAACTATAAAAAGATGACATATTTCATATTGTATATTTACGTTCAGTTTTGTCACACTTCTTAGTCACTCCTAAGACTTCATATAAGTTCTTCGTGTGAAAGTATTTAATGCAATCTTTTAGCAAACTTGACATTATATGACCTCAAAAGTCTAAAAAAAATATTAAACGCTAGAGCGCACAACCTTAAGCGAAAATACATACGGCTGTATATAGAAATCAAAATATATTTCAGAGAGAGTTTCCTGATTAAGAAATCTTAACATTTAACTCTTGTTTCCCCGTACTCTTGTCTAGCAAGCAGTCTCAGAAGGTATCAGTAAATAGAAAAGTTGTCAAACATTTGCTTGAAATTTCTATATCATCAACCACCATAAATATAGAACGTCGCATAATATGAATCCACCCCAAAATCATACTTTTATTCCATTCATCACCAACCTCTTAGTTTTTTTACACTGAAGTTTTGAATCCCCTTTGTGCCTTAAATGTCATATATGACACGATTTAGAGTGACGAAATGCGGAATCTATTATTCAATCAACCATACTTTGAATTTCTATAATAACAATAACAAGTTAATAAATACATGAATTCAGAAGTAAAGCACGGACTCCTAGATGGTCATTGTTATTCGGGTGACTATAACAATAACAATTCATGACAGAGAACACTTTCTTATGAAAAATGTCTACTCAAGAACTCATCAAATGAAGGGTGTTATATATTTTAAGTTTGGGTTGACTGTCAGCCAAATATACTACGCAAAACCGCGCATCGAACCAAGTAATTGCACAGGTGATTGATCGAAAATATATTAGCTGTTGTTTAGTAATCCTACTATTCGAAATGGCTGTTAGTTGATAAGCTTGATAATAGCGTATAGACGCTATCTGATAACAAATGGGTGGGGCGATATGAACTCTTATAGGACGCCGCGTTTGGTTGATGATGAAATACTACGTTAACACACCACATCCAAATATTATCATACCGCTCAATTTATGAAGATATAAGCACTCTTTACACCCAACTATCGCTGATATATTCTATCCTTCAGTCGTTCGCTGTGAATTCTTCAGTGACCGGGAGCAGCGCAGCAAGCACAATTGAACAGTCACAAAAGGAGGACTCGGAGTGACAGGAGGCAAGGGTTTGTATTCCAAAATGGAATAAGAGAGTACAACTAGAGACCATCTTTACAAGTTATGGGTTTTATGTATTATCGTATTTTCAGGACTTTCTTCCTTTCCAATATATTCACTCTTTGTCTCTCTGTAATAGAAAATTTTTGCGTCAATATCATAAGTACAATGGTCTCGAAATAATTATAACTAGCCATCTGTTAAACAGTTGAAAATCTAAGTAATGCAAGACAAGGTATTATGTTCAATACCTTGACTAGATAATATAAACCAACTCAAACTTTGCTCGGCAGAATAAGCGAACTATCTGTTTATTGATGTGTCTGAGTGGTAAAAGAGCGTTTTTGACGAAAGGTGCAGTTCTGCACCGCACATATTGCAGATTCACTTATTGATGTTAGGTAGTAGTTCGGGTTCTTTGATTGAATTGGTGTTTATGTAGCGACTCGGATTATATATTCCTAGTGATAAGTAACATGTGGTTTGATTTCCTTCTCTGTTTTTATCCAGTTTGATAAAGACAAAGCAATGGATGAGTTATGTAAGTCCTGGTGATGGGGTCTCTTACCGAATCTAAATTTCTTCTAAATGAGCCTACGTGTGGAACCTTACAATGTGGTTTTACGGAGTTCCACCGTTTGATGTTTCTATAGAAAAGTTGATAGTCACCCCATAAGTACTAGTTTCTGGGCTTGTGAATCTCCACGTAGTGTCCTTCTAGATTCTCTATTCTGAAGGACATGAGTTATGATGGCATTTTAAGTGAAGAATTATAACTAACCAATTTGAACACCGTGATCAAGTCACTACCAGATTTTACCTATAGCAAGGATAATTAGTTTAGTCGGTCGGTCGCTCGCGTAGTGAACTCCAACGGAAGCTTAAACAATATATAATAATATCTCAAACTGAAACGGCAGTGTGCAAATAAGAAAGTGGTAAAAGTACAACATAATGACAGCCTTGGGTTAACCAATCAGAATTAGAGTAACGCCTCATGAATTTCGCTTCAAGTTCACAATATCCCGTGCTTCCCACCCAGATAATTATCTGCAATTATTCTGAAAAACCTGGATTGTAAATCAAGATATCTACTGAATAATCTTTACAGATGAATAAATTGCACTTTTGGATGTAAATATAATGATGATACACCCGCTACTAGTTTACGAGTGTATAGACAAAAGGATGAGGGACTTTATATCTATTCTGAGAGATAAAGCAATAATGCAGGCTTTAAAAACCAATACACGAAAAGTGATATGTAAATTCATGACTCAGGATATATATATATATATATATATATATATATATGCATCGCTTCTTCGACACTGCCGTGCCTAAGAAGATAGTCAACAATTCTTATTAAACTGCAAAATCGTGCATGGAGAACAGCCCATAGACTCGTTCGAAGTAAAGACCGGTGTCAAGCAAGGTTGCTTACTCTGACCCTTTCTCCTGGTGATCGGCTGGATTATGAAGACATCTTCATCTGAGGTAAGCACAGGATACTGCTGGACGACCTAAACGTCACAGATGATCTGGTTCTTTTATCGCATACGCAACAACAAATGCAGAAGACGACCAGCGTAGCAGCAGCAGTAGGTTTCAACGTATACAAAGGGGAAAGCAAGATTCCCCGATGCCACATGCACCAATGGAATCACACTTGACGGGGAGCTTTGGATGATGCAAAAACCTCTACATACCTGGGCAGCCTCATTAATGAGCACGGTGGATGTGATGCAGATGTGAAGGCGCGGATCGGCAAAGCAAGAGCAGCATATCTGCAATCGAAAGACATCTGGAACTCAAAACAACTGTCAACCAACACCAAGGTCAGAATTTTCAATACTGTATGGGGCGGAAACTTGTAGAACTGTGAAATCCATCATCTAAAAGATACGAGTGGTTAATAACAGTTGTCTGCGCGAAATACTTCGGATCCGTTGGCCAAACACTATCAGAAGTAACCTACTGTTGGAGAGAATAAACCAGACTCCAGCAGAGGAGAAAATCAGAAGCGCTGGAAGTGGATAGAACACATACAGATTCATCAAGACTGATAAACTCTTGGTTGTGCACTTGATGTACTTTTAAGCAAGATCGCAGGCACAAGGTTGCTCCACCCCCATTCCTGTTTTTTCTGTCGTTGCGAAATAAAGATATCCCTAGTATTGCTAGCTCCCGATCCGTAAATTGAGGTATTCTTATCGAATGAGTATCATTAGTATTACTAAAGTCGCACAGCTTATCCATTTTATTTGGTAAATTCGTGGCATCCATATATAACTAATTTATGCTTTCAGTTCGAAACCCAAGATCTTCCCCATCCTGTCTATCTCTATGAGCCTTATGTGAATGGACCTGATGATATCGCTTTCAGAATACAGTATGTCAGGCATTATTTTTACATCCCCACCTGATTTCAGTGAGTGACTAGCCAGCAGAACATCCACTGCCTCGGCAGCGTTAGTGAGCGTTGCGCCGACTCAGTCTTGGGTGGTTTTGATCCTTGAAGTCCTTTCCCCGAGTGAGCCGTATGACAGTCAGAGGCTCTATATTGGGAAGTTCGAGCTTCCTGTTTAACTCTTTCTTAAAGCATTCTGTCACTTTGGCCATGTAGATTGAGGAGGTCAGAGCTGTCTTTAAGGTCCATGATTACGAGAATCGTCGCGAACCCTGATTGTTTTCCTAGGTTTTCGTATACGTTCAGGATGCAACTTTTTTTGGTAATCGAAGTGCGTTTCAGATTCCTTACTGACTGACTGGACAGTATTAGGGGTAGACTGTATGGCAAAATTACCACTCGGTTTCACTACAATACCTGGGATGTTCTGCTTTCTAGACGGTGAGACAGTTCTTTTTAACTTTGTTGACGGGAGTCCAACCACCTATAGAGCTTTTGGGGACCTGTTTCGTTCAGAGACCCTGTGCTGGGAGACACAATTTTGCTGGGTGAGTCTAGTGCTGTCGATTTTATGATGGTGCTAGGCTTCAGCATGTCCTTACTGGTGTTGACGCATGTTCCGTCGATACTAGCGTTGCCGATGTCCCTTTTTTTTCTTCGCCGCGCTCCTTTGTTTGCCTACCTGTCTTAAGACTATCTTTTTTCAGGTTTACTGACAACTTTTTTCCACAGACCCATCAAGAGAATGATGGTGGTGCTCAGCCAGTCCTCAACACTCATATTCCACGTGACACATACCCACCTAGTATCCGAGTTACTAAGTCTGTCGTAAGTAGTTACTGTGAGATCTGTTCATGCTTTGTGGAACCAACATTTGCATTTATCACACTGCATTCCAGAGGTGACAATAAATTGGCATCCGGGTCGCTTGGTAATGTGAGATTTTGGTGAAATTACAATATTTGGATGACCTTTAATAGACGCTAGACCGACCTTAAGAATACCCACCCACTAACAAGAACTTAATAAGGTTTATAAACCAGGGTGAGGAACTACAATTATTATTTACAGCTGATGGTTAAGGATAGGAATTAGATTTAGGGTTTTCATCACGAACTGATATCAGCTACAATGACGAAACTCTATTTAGCCAAATGAGTGAGTGAATTCTGCGCCGAAATCCAAGACATGTCATGTTATATCTGATTGGTTCATCCATAAATTAGTCTCGCAGTAATTTTTAACAGATCCTAGAAAAGGTCTACGACCATAAGACAAAAAACAGCACACTCAAAACGGATAAGATTGATAGAAACGGGTGGTGCGAAAAATTTGGATAGGTGAAAACTAGCTGTAACGTGAAAAAGTGAAAAATCAAATAGTAATTTGAGACAAAACCACAGTCAACTATTAACTTGGAAAGGGCTCAAGGGAAGTAATCTACCAAGCATTAAGCTTAGGATGTATTGTTTGGGTTAAAAACGATACTTTTATTGCGTAAAGACTGCATAAATTCGAGAAATGCAAATCACTTTAGGAATAACCGTTCCGTTTCAAACGCAAAAAGCAACGTACTTATCAAATAGCCACAAATGAAGGATATGCATGTTATAACAAATAAACAATATTTGTGAATGCAAATGTGACTGTATTTACAAGATCACACGAAGATGTTGTACAAGGATTTTTGCCGGAAAAATCATTAAACATGCATGTCAATATACTCGTCACACACGACTTCTGAGATTCCATGAATTTACCTAATTTCCGTACTTTGAAGCACTCCTAGCAGTTGGTTGTCTTTTTGGAAGAGGATGGCTGTTTATACGAGACTAATGAATGTTGTATAAAAGGTCAACATTCTCTTCACACCTGCTTAGCCGAAGACAATACTTGAGGAATTCTGAAATGGCAGTGTATAAGTTTCCAAGGCTCACTTAATGAATGACTCATAAGTAACTTCACCAGTTGAAATCATGAGTCAATTGAAGCTAGACCACCATGGGCAGCCGTTTCGTTCTAGTATGGCACTCCTCAGCAGTGCGCATCCACGATCCCGAGATTCGAACCCAGGGCTCATCAGCCTCGCATTCGAGCACTCAACCGTTAGACCACTGAGCCGGCATCCAACGGTGTTAATGTCTAACTTTAAACAATCCACGAAATTGTATATCTAGATGATTTAATATAAAACATAAATGACCTGAAAATAATAGTCGGTAATCACGAAGTTCTGAACTCTGAACAGCTTTTATCACATCGTATCGTTTGTCATATCTTGATATCTTCAGCTGGAGAGATAACACACCCACGGACTACATGTTCGTGTCCTATTTTCGGTATCTCCGTGTGTCGTTGTGGATTATGTTTCGTTCTATAGTCTGTTACAATTACGTTATTGTTTTGTTAAAACTCCGATGCGCCAGTCTGAAGATATTTTATCAACTATGCAAAAGTAGTTGTAAGAAAGTAATAACTTTGTCTAGATTATCAGCCAGGTTCTAGTGTAAATTTTAAACGGTATTTGGAAACTGCGGGTTCAAATTTCATATACAGTCGTTATTTTTTGATCTCATGTACGGGATTGGACCCGTTTTCACAAATTGTGAACAAATGTAAATGCCTTTTTTAAGAATTGCAGCACTTTAAAAAATTTAGAGGCTCTTCATAACCCTCCCTCGAAATTCTTAGTGAAATTACGAAAAGTGATCAATTTTATCCTACATTTAGAAGCTTAGGTCGTTTATGTTGGTGTTTCAAGTCAGCTTACTGGTGTATTGAACTTACTGTCGATGAGATTTGCACCGCTTTCTAAAAACATGGAGAAACAAAGTAGGAAATCGCATGAGAGCATTAATGTCGAAGGCTTACGGATTTCGGTGATCTCTTTACAGTTACAATCTTCCAGGTGGCAGTTGAGTAGTATTTTATTCAAGTTGTTTGGATCACTTACAATTAAATTTGTGTCATCATGGTTAGTTGGCATGCATTGTTACTCACTAATAATGTACCTCAAGATGAACTTTGTCATGATTCATACTTATTTCTCTTGCTAACACTGGTTTCTGGTAAGTATAATCGCGCTTCAAAGGAAATGTTACGAATAAATCGATTTGTTATTATTAATAGGGTTCCAACTTCCTGGGTCGAAAATTTTAAAACTGGAATTTCATCTTGAGATATAACCACATTATTGTAGTACATGATTTTGTCAAGTTATGTCATCTAGACCAAACAACGTGTGTTACCTTACATCGGTCATCTAGCAACCAGATTTTTAACAATCACCGTGTCGACGACTAATGGGACATGAGTGAACTCAAACTAACACTGGCCACACTTAAATGTATTGGTATGTAAGCCTGAGTACTTTTTTCTGATATTTCATATTTACCAACGATGAGAATGCGAATTAATAGAACTGGCATGTGAATCAACGTATAGTTAGTCCGACTATAATAAATTAAAATGTGACACAACAAGATCCCCATTTTCAGGCTAGTGGTTCCTCCAATACTTATATGTATTTAAGTAACGCCTAGTATTACGACCGAGATATCAATATGCCGAACTGAAGAACCAAGGTCTATCAGATTAGGCCAGACTATGTTTTTCCGTATAACGAGAGAAGCGTTTCAGAGTTACTTGCATTAAACGATATCAAAACACAGACTGAGTTCAATTCAAAAACGGCTCCAATTTATTAAATGGAATAAATTATACCAAAAGCAGAAAATACCTCGAGTGGTACAGCCTGTGCTTGTAGCGTGGCGTCGAGTTGAGATTAACTATGAACACTGCTACAGAGAAACACGTTCCAAGTAAATCAGAAGGCGAAGGTTGAACGTAACCAAATAAATCTATAAAATCCCCGAGAAGCCAAATATCAGAAGGCAGTTAATGGACCAAGTCGAGATATATTTGCTGGCGATCTCGTGGTATCGAAAGTATACCGAGATCGTGCCAGGATACAAGCTTGGTTACAGAACGTAACCAAATTCGCGCGAAGTTACAATCAAAGTGTAAGTATAAGAATGGAAGCACAAAATAGCTGTCATTAGCACAGTCAAACAAAAGCACATTAAAACAAACACTGGTACAGTTGGTTATAATAATAATTGTTTTTATTAAACCAGTCGTGTTCTCGTGATAAATGTGAGTCACTACATGCTATACAATCAAGGGTTTACTAACTCTAACGTTCCAACCAACAAAAAGAATAGTTAATGAACAAGAATTTAATACCTGAGAATCACTGGAAATGTTCCTAAAACGATGGTGTCAGATATCTATACCCAGTGACCTTTCCAGGCATATGGTCAAATGTAAACAGTCACCCACTGGACCACACCATGACCTTAAGCTCAGTCAAGCACGATGTTATTCTCAGTGGTTCGGCCACATGCAACGGCGAATGAAGTAACAAACGAAAAATCTTCAACCAAGATCAAATTACAAAAGCCTCGACAAGTAAAAGTGAACAATGTAGAGTGTTGTCAAAAGAGGCCTGAATAGATGCTAAGTACGAGACAAGAAGAAACAAGTAAATAACAATACTGTGGATGGATTCTGAGTGTTTTCTTCCCGTTACACCTAGGCAAAGTTGCTTCGCTTTGCCCCTAAGCGTGTAGACGGTTAACTAGAACGACTTTCTTCCGCGATGCTGAACTTCATACAAAGTAATGAAATCAGAAAACTAAAACCACTTTTGAAAACATTTACTAATTCAAGTTGTGATAATTTACCTCTTCCAAAATGGCACAGAACACCTCAATTTCGCGATGGATTGAAAAATGTAAAAAATGCACAACAAGGTATAACATTGAAGCAGTAAAGTTTCGACATAAATAACAATTGAGACACAATATTTACCATACAGCTTCATGACTGACTCAGTCATATAATTAATGCCAAAACACAAGACATTCACAATTCAGTGTTTCTAGAAGAGATACTGTACGGACATACAAGTTAATACAATTATGATTATTAGAAGTATCCGAATTGATGAAATAGTGAGGTTTACAGCAAGTATAACAAGATGAGCATAAATGAACGTATAATATTCGGGATTCGAAATCAGTGAACAATCAAGTACAAAAGAGTAATCAGTTCGTACAAATACCACTATAATGCAACTATATAGCTGAAATAAAATAACCTCATTTTCTCGTGACACATGTAGCATTAAACTAAATAAATGTCCTCTTTTCGGTCTAAAATTTATGGAGAATGTACACATTATGGTTCTCAATTTTTTATATCCCCAGATTCGGCCCAAGTACCTGTAAAGTGAAAGTGGATAGATCTACTTCTCAGTTCTTTTCCTAAGCATAAATAACTTTCATCTTTTTTCCTTCTCCAGAATCTTGCTCTGAGAGCACAACTATGAAACTTCTGACGTTTCGAACAAACTTGACGAACGCGTCCTCTCAAGGTCATAGTTTACAGCAAGCGCTCTACGAATTCACCTTATAACAACTATAAACTTAATAAGTTGGGAAACATTTTGTGAACCAACAAATTTCGTAATTTATATATCATGCCTGTAAAAACGGTGTGTACCTGCACATGCAGAAATATATTATTATTGTTATCAGCTCTCATAAGTTGTGATTTTTAATTAACGTGGTTTTCACTCAGCAAAATATGAGCTATCGACTATGTAAGCAGCCGCTGGACTCAGAAATGCATATATCACGCAAGTCCTAGCACATAACTCTCACCTTGTACATAAATCTACCATAACGAATAAGCTCGAGATTATATACACTCATGTAGTTAGGTCTATTATAGGTGTACTGAGACAGCTCCATACATAGTTGTTATCTGCAATTGACTTGCAGATCATTCCACATTTATATGGTCATACTCTAATGGACTTTAACAACCGAGTATTCAGATTCTTTGTGTGGCATAATAACCCTCCTGAAAGGAAAATAATGACATTAAGTTTATGTTTGTAAATGTGCAACGCATTGTATTTTATTACTTTCACCTAACTTGTCTGAACATCGAGATATTTTTGTGGTACTTGTATGAACCAATGAGTTCTTTTTACTTGATGACTGTCTGATTTCGAATTCGAAGATAATACGTTCGTTTGTACTTACCTAGTTGCGTTTGGTCAAAATTGCGTTATTTTGGGGGTTCCTATTTCGTAAAATAATTCAGGTACGTCTAATCATCACACTTATTTGTAGTAGTTACTTAGTAGACTTCTCAACTTCAGTCTAAACTCCATGTGGGATGAGAAATCTGAGTTTGTACCTACTTTTTAAAATAATTCAAAATGGATATTATTTAATCTATTAATATATTATCTTCAAGTTATGAAGTGATCCAGAATGAAGTTATTTTGTCTAATCTCAATGCATTTGATTCAGCAATCCAGGCTACGGCTAAGTAATTTATACTTGACCTAAGAACTCTTAAACCATTCCATTGAACATTAAGTCGATTAAATACAGCCCTAAAACTCCTTAAAATCCCTAAAATCAGTCTGTCCTCAATTTATAGCCTGATAAACAAAAAGTAATACATGTCACCTTCAGACAAGTGTAGCGTAACACAGTAATAGAAGTGAGAAATTTTTATGAATAAGATGAATATTGTGACATGAAATTAAAAACGAAGTCAAAATAATACTCAGGTATACTCCCTTCATTCACTAAACGGATAAAATTCTCTATTTGATACGCTATGTTCATATGAATTATCCTATCGATATAATATAACTCCAGCCCATCTCTTTGGCATATTACAAACAGATGAGGATATGAGGCTAAGAGCGCCACTTATACACAGGCGAAATAACATTACTTCCCAAAACGCGTGCTGAGGCACACCACAAATTACGATCTATCAATCGGACAAACAAGCTAGAGATAACTATAATTCATACTTGACGTCCAACCAAATATTATTTGCGCATGGAAGAAAGTTAAGTAACCAGTTTATGTGGAAGTTTGTTGGAGGCCTTACTAAAGTTGATTTAAGCTACAATTATACGCGGATTTTGATTTCTTAGAGTACACTAACTATCTTGTTAGACACCAGTAACCTGTGTGGAAACCAGGGATTTTATATTTCTATTCGATATCTTTCAGCCGCCTCAAAGAGAAGGCGTAGTGTTCCCAGTTGTTGTCTACAAGTTAATTTAATACCTCTCTGATTGTTGGCTCAGATACGTCTATTGCTATATTAGTTGGTGCTCTGGGGTCGTTTCAAGAAGCATTGTCGACTTTGGGATAATGTGCTGTACCACAAGGGATGTCATATTTATATATATACCCAGTTTGACTATTTTCATATTTCCCTGATGTACGTTAATACGTGATTTATTGAGAGATCAGCAACTTTCTATGAATTGCTGGCAAAAGCTTACTCGTCTATTGAACATGAGTAGCTGCTTAATACAGATTGTTCCATAACATCCCAGAATATCCTCTTGTTAAGTTACGGATGTAAGTTGAGGGGTAGCGATTTGGGCTTTTCTGCATTGGATCGTTTAAAACAACTGACAAAAAGCCACTGATTGGAGTTTCTTTGGAAAACCGTACATACCACGAGATCCAATGGACTATTTAACGAATGAAATAAGTCTTAATTTTGATAATATAAGGGCTTTGTGTATAATTAATCTTGAGGTATATTTCAGGGTAAAAAGAGTACAAGTTTACATGAAAATATGAGAACAAAAAAATAATTATATAAAGTGATTGTACAAAAATACAGGAATACATCAGTAGGGTTTCCCGCAATATACACGATCACATTAGCGTCATTAATGAGAACAAACAACCATAGAAACTAGGTAAAGTAAAGTTAGCATGAAATTATGCAGAATGTTATCGTCGTACGGAAAATACACTGTAGAGTGTATTAAGAGCACAAAACCCAATGACATTTGAAGAGAACTGTACTGGGTTCGAGTACCGGAGCGACTCATTAACTCTGGGATGCAGGTACATCCAGCTGACGAGTTCCAAATGCGACGAAACGTGCGTCTTGGATTCTGCTACTAGCCACTATTCAACTTTTCTTTAGTTAAAAGTTTTGCTGTTCATGTAAATAACAAGACTACCAGTATCTTTGATAAAGTGTACTTATTTATTTCTAGATTTATTTTTATCATGACAAAAATATTTGACTGTTTTCAGATCCCATCACCAGAGGATAAAATTATGTCAACAACAGATTTTGGAAACAACTGCCGTAATTATTAATGAGGGGTTCTATATGACAAAGGTTTTATTTAAAGTAGAAAATTTGTGGGTTTTAACTGTCACTACTATTACTCTTAACAAACTAATTACGACCCATTTTATTGCTGGACAATCGGAGGTCTTGGTTTTATCCCAGATGACAGTCAACAACAGAATGTGTCTACGACCTTGTGGAGACTATCTCTTTCTTTGTGACCCGAATCATGATCATCTAACATCAGTCGGTTCATGATCTCAATTGAAACCAAACGATCTGAACAACCCTATATTGATATTTAGATTAGTTAGTGGTGAGTTAGCTGAGGCCAGAGGGAAGTAAGATATTCACTGAGTAGTATCCAATGCCATGTGGTTTAGATTAGGTCAACCTAGGTTAAAAGCTACTTGATTTTTTCTATCATTATCAATCTGACAGTGTCACGTGCCATATTGAGTAAAGTGTAACTTCATAGACAGAATTCAGTGAGCACTCGATAAAGTAACAATGTTTATTATCCAGTTGTTCAATCAATTTAAACTTGTTTAATTCAAATGACATTGTGACGGGAAAATCGACTGAATTTACGAACGTGTCCCACTTAAAGTAAACTCAATGTATCAAAGTGCAAGCACACTGTGTGGATCATATGGGTCCTTGGTTCGTCCCAAACGGTATCTTGGGTGAACACTACTGAGAAGTCTCACACAAAATGCGCAACCAGTGATTATCTGCACATTTGTAATAAATGAAGACTTGGGTATTGTGCAAAGTCACACACTGAATTTGTATAATAGAAAAACAATACATTGAATCTACCGTTTGCACACCTTTCTTGAATTGTATCTTACAAACTTCATCGTCCTTCTATTCTTGTTGCTACTCCGACTGCCAATGTTTGTTTTCTCGCCCGACTCACTACACAAAAGGTTCAGTAGTAATGTCTCTAAACCATCACTCTGATAGAAACACATTAGTGAGAAATAAAAGCATCTATCAACCATAAATAAACAAAAGGCTTCTGTCGGTTACTTCTAACTGTCTAGCATCAAACAAAATGGATTGTAATGTCGAAATAATTAATCTAATAGTTATACTGTAATTTTTGAACCATTAAATTCGACCTTTATTAGGGAGTAGATAGATATGACATTTATTATTGCCTAAGGACTAATTCTATTTAAGAGATACGAATTACAGTCTATATGAAATTCAAAGGAGTACATGTAACATAGCTATTATAACTAACTGGAAGATTCAGAAACATTCAAATAAAAACTGAAGTACTAACTAACCCTTTGACTATTCATTCAATTTTACACACATTGTGGCTAGTTTAGCTAGAAATAATATTGATTACATTATTCGACACATGTCTTTTTTCAAAAATATCAAATCTCCAAGTTAAAGCAATGGTTTGTTTGGTCCTCTTTCTACCATACTGCAACTACCTACTATCATTAATGGTTCTAGAGTTAGTAATAGTAGTAGTAGTAGTAGTAGTAGTAGTAGTAGTAGTAGTAGTAGTAGTAGTAGTAGTAGTAGTAGTAGTAGTAGTAGTAGTAGTAGTAGTAGTAGTAGTAGTAGTAGTAGTAGTAGTAGTAGTAGTAGTAGTAGTAGTAGTAGTAGTAGTAGTAGTAGTAGTAGTAGTAGTAGTAGTAGTAGTAGTAGTAGTAGTAGTAGTAGTAGTAGTAGTAGTAGTAGTAGTAGTAGTAGTAGTAGTAGTAGTAGTAGTAGTAGTAGTAGTAGTAGTAGTAGTAGTAGTAGTAGTAGTAGTAGTAGTAGTAGTAGTAGTAGTAGTAGTAGTAGTAGTAGTAGTAGTAGTAGTAGTAGTAGTAGTAGTAGTAGTAGTAGTAGTAGTAGTAGTAGTAGTAGTAGTAGTAGTAGTAGTAGTAGTAGTAGTAGTAGTAGTAGTAGTAGTAGTAGTAGTAGTAGTAGTAGTAGTAGTAGTAGTAGTAGTAGTAGTAGTAGTAGTAGTAGTAGTAGTAGTAGTAGTAGTAGTAGTAGTAGTAGTAGTAGTAGTAGTAGTAGTAGTAGTAGTAGTAGTAGTAGTAGTAGTAGTAGTAGTAGTAGTAGTAGTAGTAGTAGTAGTAGTAGTAGTAGTAGTAGTAGTAGTAGTAGTAGTAGTAGTAGTAGTAGTAGTAGTAGTAGTAGTAGTAGTAGTAGTAGTAGTAGTAGTAGTAGTAGTAGTAGTAGTAGTAGTAGTAGTAGTAGTAGTAGTAGTAGTAGTAGTAGTAGTAGTAGTAGTAGTAGTAGTAGTAGTAGTAGTAGTAGTAGTAGTAGTAGTAGTAGTAGTAGTAGTAGTAGTAGTAGTAGTAGTAGTAGTAGTAGTAGTAGTAGTAGTAGTAGTAGTAGTAGTAGTAGTAGTAGTAGTAGTAGTAGTAGTAGTAGTAGTAGTAGTAGTAGTAGTAGTAGTAGTAGTAGTAGTAGTAGTAGTAGTAGTAGTAGTAGTAGTAGTAGTAGTAGTAGTAGTAGTAGTAGTAGTAGTAGTAGTAGTAGTAGTAGTAGTAGTAGTAGTAGTAGTAGTAGTAGTAGTAGTAGTAGTAGTAGTAGTAGTAGTAGTAGTAGTAGTAGTAGTAGTAGTAGTAGTAGTAGTAGTAGTAGTAGTAGTAGTAGTAGTAGTAGTAGTAGTAGTAGTAGTAGTAGTAGTAGTAGTAGTAGTAGTAGTAGTAGTAGTAGTAGTAGTAGTAGTAGTAGTAGTAGTAGTAGTAGTAGTAGTAGTAGTAGTAGTAGTAGTAGTAGTAGTAGTAGTAGTAGTAGTAGTAGTAGTAGTAGTAGTAGTAGTAGTAGTAGTAGTAGTAGTAGTAGTAGTAGTAGTAGTAGTAGTAGTAGTAGTAGTAGTAGTAGTAGTAGTAGTAGTAGTAGTAGTAGTAGTAGTAGTAGTAGTAGTAGTAGTAGTAGTAGTAGTAGTAGTAGTAGTAGTAGTAGTAGTAGTAGTAGTAGTAGTAGTAGTAGTAGTAGTAGTAGTAGTAGTAGTAGTAGTAGTAGTAGTAGTAGTAGTAGTAGTAGTAGTAGTAGTAGTAGTAGTAGTAGTAGTAGTAGTAGTAGTAGTAGTAGTAGTAGTAGTAGTAGTAGTAGTAGTAGTAGTAGTAGTAGTAGTAGTAGTAGTAGTAGTAGTAGTAGTAGTAGTAGTAGTAGTAGTAGTAGTAGTAGTAGTAGTAGTAGTAGTAGTAGTAGTAGTAGTAGTAGTAGTAGTAGTAGTAGTAGTAGTAGTAGTAGTAGTAGTAGTAGTAGTAGTAGTAGTAGTAGTAGTAGTAGTAGTAGTAGTAGTAGTAGTAGTAGTAGTAGTAGTAGTAGTAGTAGTAGTAGTAGTAGTAGTAGTAGTAGTAGTAGTAGTAGTAGTAGTAGTAGTAGTAGTAGTAGTAGTAGTAGTAGTAGTAGTAGTAGTAGTAGTAGTAGTAGTAGTAGTAGTAGTAGTAGTAGTAGTAGTAGTAGTAGTAGTAGTAGTAGTAGTAGTAGTAGTAGTAGTAGTAGTAGTAGTAGTCGGTATAATGCTAATTCTGTTAGGAGTCTACTTTGAAGATTTAAAAAATTCACATGTTAAATTCGTTAAAATCTATTCACACAATATGTGCACCTTATCACGTGGTGATTTACTATAGACGACTTACACAGTAGGAATTGTGTTGCATCTCTTCTTATTGCCATTGGCCAAGTGGTATTATGCACTTGGGCATTGAATTTCATCTGCGAAATAAGTAACCAATTAAAATTATTGTGTTAATTCGATTTTTGGAAGGGTAGAAAAATAATTTTTAGTCTGCACACATTTATAATTGCAAATTAATTTAATTTGTAGCGCACTTGTGCAAATCAATATCATGGGAAGAAAACTACATTTGATAGACAAGAAATCGGAATACTTAATATTACTAACCAATAAAAGTAAAGTTAATTTAATTTAGAAAGAACACAAATTACTAGAATAGGGTGGTGATGTTGCTAACAAATTGTGTACCACTGATGGGTTTATATATACCAGTATACTTAAAGAATAAATTCTGTGGTACAACTGCGCAAACTTGTCAAATATATATTTTCTTTGATTAAAACAACCGAATCATTTGGAGTAACAATTGTTATTCATTCACAAATCGTCCAAAGCAATTTTAAACAGAAGAGGTGGAAAAAAAGTTACCACAACAGTTGCTGTAATAATCTTGAATAGTCAGTTCCAACCAAGTCAAAAGCAACTGTTTAACATTATACATACACGTGTGTATATACACTTATCTACGAAAGTCAACTGTTCCAAATAACAATAAGAATATTAATTGAATAACTTCTTCTTCAACTTCGTGCATAACCAAAAACTTGTACTTGTCAAACTGTGTCCATCAGATCTTAAAGATTCATTTATACAAGGTCATACATTTATATTTTCTTTATTCAAAGATTCTGTACTATTTTGAGAAGATCAACAACTGTTCACGTTCACATCTAATTGAACTATCATCAATATACTTCCATTTTTATGTAACCAGAAGATAAAAAAAACAAGAAAAACTATTTTCTCTCAAAGGATTGTCCAAGAATATACAACATTTCCCTACTGATAAGAAGCAAGAAATAAATTATTAACTGGAAGAGGAAAACAGCAGCACTCAAAAACTGTTTAATTTTTTTCATTGTAGATAACAGTCAAAAATTTCCTATTTCCTCTTCGACAATATTCAACTCGTGTTGAATCTTATTACATTTCCGGATACATACATACATACATACATACATACACACGAAGATATACACAATTACACTAAACCACATTTGTGCGTACATAGGGAAAAATTCAGGTTAGCAGCTGACTCGAGTAATACCAACTGTTGTCTTACACACGAAAAAACAACAGAAATTGATCAAAACTATTGCGGTGATTTCACCTGCTGACTTATACCGCTTTTTATCTGGATAAGTATTGAATAATATTATACGGTGAAACAGGATAATCGATTTGCTTACTATTCCCGTGTCCAAGTACCAACGAAATCGATTTTATTCAAGTGATCAGATTATTACAGATTTGACATTATTAATATCAATAACTAATTGATTTATGCATAAATACACATATACATAAATCTTTGACAAGAAAGTTAACAGTTGTCCTTTTGTGTTATTTGAAAAATCCTCGGAAACTTTTCTACACATTTAAAATCACGTGAACTCAAAATTATGATTGGAGAATATGATCAGTCACACCACCATTTAAACAGTACATTCACTAACTACAGTAATAATAGCAGTATTATAGTAGATGATATACCTACCGAATCCTGTCAATTGTTAAATTATCCTACACAACTGATTAATAATAATAATAATGCAACAGCCAAAAATTCGACACATTTCACCTCATCTATCAATCATCATCATATTGCATTAACAAATGAACAGGTGAGTTTCAATGTAGAAAACAACTCCGAATACAGTCATAACATATTAGATAGTCAAACTAATCATTATGGACTATCGTCTTCTACCAATTCACCCTACGGGAATTTGTCAAATCAATACTCGACTAATTCACATTATACAACAAATCAGCCGCATTATCCTATTGTCACATTGAATAATAATAACAATAACAGTGATAATCCATTTAGATGTGCAAATTCATTCATTCCATTAGTTAATTCAAATCACCATTTGCCTTCTATATCATCATCATTATCACCAACCTCGACAACAACAACAGCGTCAGTGACAGCAGCATCGTCAGTTACAGCAGAAACATATCAAACTAATTTATGTGATCAAATTGAGTTTTCACTGAATTCTCAGTTCCTTCAACCGCCAACTGAAGAATTTATCACAGTACTACCAAATGAAACAGAATTAATAAAAACATCTGTATTGCGTCATCTGGACCATTATTCACAGTTTGTAAATCAGTCACCGTTTCAAACATTAGTACATCAGTTAGTAACCAATACTACTAATAATAGCAGTAAACATAACTTTGACAGCATTTCAACATCGACAATTGATGATGACTTAATATTATGTCATAAAAATATTTTATCTAATCCACATAATAATCATGAGTTCCTACCTCCATCAGTGTACCATTATCAACATGTTCCTGAAGGTGAACTTGTTAAAGTAGAAATGCTAAATGATGCTGATGATAATGAAAATGATGATAACACTTATCTACGTCAACATAAACAGCATCAACAAAGGCAACAATTATTACAACCAAATGAATATAATACATATATAAGAAACTTTCGACAGGCTACATTCAACAATTTGAAGTCATCTTATCCTGAAAATTATGTTTCCAATGAACAGACAATAATTCCATCACCAATTATAATACCTTCGATTACAAGTGATGAATTTAGTTTATCAACTAATTGGACACCAGATAAGATGAATATGTATCCAGATGAAATATCATCAATGTCACAACACCAACATCGTCAATCTAGTAAATATTTAACATCGCCAAGTCATTTCACATCAACTCCATTATCATCAGAAGCAAACTTTGGTAATCGTCAAATAGATTATTTGAACAACAGCATTTATAATAGCCCTGATCTGTTACAAAATACAACACCACAACGTTTATTAATTACAGAAGCCAAACAACACGTGTCAAATATATCCAAATCTTTTGATAACAATGACAATAGTAGTTGTAGCACTAATAATAATAATAATAATATATATTGTCTGCCAGTTTCTACACAAATCGCTACCACTCCCATTACCACAACAAGTGAGAATTCTGTGAGTGTTTTTAATCAAACACAGCTCCTTTTTGATGGGTCCTCTTCAACTTCATCAGCTGCATCGAGATCTTCAAGTTCATTTGGCAACGCATCGTCAGATAATAATAACAATTCAGGGAAAAGACCTCATTGCCTATTAAATGAATTTCAGACTCATCTACAAAGCACAATTAATAAAAATACTTGTCAAAAATCGGAACTTGTCAGCAATCCACCAGCATCTTACATAACTAATAACAGTTTCCATATAACATCGCCATCGCATAATACATCAATAGAAAAGACTGATAAATATACAAATCCGGATTCAAATAAATCATCTATTGACACAGAACAAATAATAAGTGAAAAAACTAAAAACGATAGACGAAAACAAACAGAACTGCCAACAACTAATCCTACAGTTACATCACTAAAACGTACTAAATCAATGATGCATTCAGACTCAACAATGATGTCATTGAAACCTGAACGACCAAGTATACAGCAACAAACAACCTCATCATTACGTAAACGTGGTCGTTATTCTCGTATGAAACAAGCAGAAATGAGTATAGATAAACATCATTTGATCAACACAGCAATAAATGAATTACAAACTTCACAGTCAACGATGAAAACAGTAGTAATGAAGTCAAATATATGCGATGATACAAGTAGTAGTACAGATGACGAATCTGATTCAGATAATGATGACACTGAAGAAACTAAAGTAAGTATTTTAAGTGATCCATGTTTTAATTTCATTATTTTCTTCAAGATGTTGAGTTTCGACATTCCTTCATACACATCTTTCTTATGTCATCTTTTTAAAACTATCCTCAAAATTTAGTCTTTTCTTTTACCATTGATCCCGCAGTATTTGATTTCTCATTCGTTTTTTTTAAAGTTCATGTTCTTACAGTAATATGATATGACAACTTGGGCTCGTACACATATAACTCAATCACAGAGCTAATCATGTCTGACCGATAGTTTTTTTACTTAAATGAAAAGTATATAATAACTGTAATTATCTTGTATCTAAAATTCAATCAAAGATGATTACTCAGTTCAGTTATCTATTTATTGAATAAATAAACTTTGTGTGTACCTAGTAAATATGTTGTCTGAAATTTTCCATGTAAAGATTTACTGACCCTACCTTGATTCACTTATCTATTTAAACTGAAATAGAAAAAGTAGATTAAGATGTAAACAAGCAAACTGTTTGTTAAAAATGAAGCGTTTTAAGTCATAATTATGTGTAATAAAATGTATATACTCAATTTAACTTTACATGAACTTGTAACTCATGACATAAAGTGGGAATATATGAATAAATATATAAATAATTAATATCAGAAGGGGTTTTGTGGATATTATAGTAATTTTAATAGTTAAGATCATGAGTCAATTGAAGCTAGACTACAATGGAAACCCTGTATGGCCGTTTCATCCTATTATGGGACTCCTCAGCAGTGCGCATCCAAGATCCCACCTCGCGGGATTCAAAGCCATAAATGATTATTAATGTTTTAATAAAACACAGCAAGTGAGTCAAAATAATCTCGAAGACAGATTTTTAAAAAAATTGTGCAGTATATTTGTGTGAAACCTAGAATTGATTGGTAACACTATAATCTTGGCACTTTACCTGAAATTAATCTTTCATATCTAAGTTTGATGCAAATAATTAATTATTATTTTAAGTAATGTTTAAATGAGATATAGAAAAACTATTTTTAAATAAACACCAACTTTTCTTGGCTTCAGTTTTATAGCACAACAACTTCATATGACACAAATTATCACGTAACTTAGTTTAATGACCGTATAGCAACCTGATCGACAGACTACAATCCATACCAAAAATAAGATAAGCATAAGTTAACTGGAGGTTGAACCCAGGGCCTTTATGTCTCGGGACTAACGCTTAACCTTTAGAACACGAACCTGATATATAATGGTTTATCTGTTTAACTTTGATAAGTTCGTAATAATGTCCAAAAATCTTCCGATATCACTGTGACTGTCTCACACTTAAAATTGATGAAAAAACTGGTTAAACTTATATTAAGAATATCCAATATATTCTCATTTTTGCTATGTAAATTTATATCTCAATCTATTCATGTAAATTCTCATTTACACAATACAAAATTTGTATCATCAGTCTAAAAAACATTTAAGCATATTATTCAACTACATGAATGACCCTGCTGAGTTAAAATATTAATTGATGAAGACATTTTGAATGGCTCTCCAGATTTTCATCTTTCTATCTCTCTTAAGCAAACCAAACTGAACATTTCTAACTTATCTAAAAAGTTACTTCACTGATCAATCCCACCTTTAAATATTCTCAATGAAAAATCTCATTCTGATAATAATAATAATAATAATAATAATAAAACTCCATGAGGTCAACACAAATCAACACAATCTGACCTGCATAAAGAAAGTTTTCATTAAGAAAAGGATCATCCTTTAAATAATGTTATCTAATTAACTTATTCAAGATAAATCATGTGTAATAAGTTTAGTCTTAACTTAGAAAAGCATATTCGACCTTCTGCTCTCCCCCTTCCAACGCTTCAGCTTCCAATAAAAGATATCCCACTTCACTTATTGTTACTGTTTTTATCAGTATATATATGATGCAGGCAGTGAAGCATTAAACGGATAGATCAACTGAACAGTAAAAACGTCTAGTTCTCTTTTATCTAAAAATTTGATAGACAATATGCATAAATTAGCATACCAGTTATGTATGTGTATGATATAATCTTTTAATGATAAATGACGTTGAAATTACTAAATGAAAGTGGATTGTAATTGTATTGAATAACTGGTTACATTAAAAATAAAATACCCTTTTATCACATGTCAAGTATTATTTAATCTTTCAGACAGGATTACATAATCATTTTCGTTTAGGATAAAGAAACTTTTAACGTTAAAAGCATGTTGATAGTTGATAAGAAAGTAAACAGAACTGTACATTTAGCTTACACAATTTCATATAGATATTTGAACACTGAAGGTAATTTAACATATTTTGTGTACAGCTAGTATAGGAATCCATAACTCCTGTTTCAGACTCCCCAACTGGTTGCATCTACATTACAGTACTGATGTAGACGCTGAACATCGGACGCTGCTCATCGTTTTAAATGCTCAACTCACAATCCAATGAGGTATGAGGCCAGATAGTCACTAACCTTTTGAACAGGTATGAAGGTATCAATTAGGTTCTAGAATCTCCCGTTTTTTGGTATAAAGGACTGCAAATGATATGTTCCATTTCTGGCCACAAATATATCAAAATTTATGACATAATGCTATATTGATGCAATTCACTCAGGATGCTCGTATGTCGACAGGGACTAATCAGTTACAGTTCTGAATACCGATAACAGGTAATTAAGAATCCCAGCTAGCACTTTACAGTTAATTTTCACTACTAGGTGAAACTGAAGGAGATTCAATGAAAATTGTGGAGAAACTGAGTGCGCGCCTGAGTATGTATCATGATTAGCTACAACGTCACCCATAAGTATGAGACTAAATCCAAGAATATCAGGTTTCCCAAAAAAAAACAAAATCTTATCTGTCCAAAAATTTGAATGAAGAAAGCTTAAGATATAATTCAACCCTCACTAACAGTGTTGTGAGTTACTAATTGGTCAAATCTACGGGTAACAGTTTCTCGTTCGTACTTTGGAGAAGCCATCATTAGAAACTAATCTCTAGTGTAATCACTTGGTTATTAATGAGTGAGTAATTTGTAGAAATGGTCAATAATAGTTTCTACTAGAAACCCTTACGTAAAGGATTTTCCAGAAGAATAAATCTTACATATTTGGAGTAATGGATAATCAATGTATTATTAAGAAGCGTAGTTATCTTTTTTCACTATTTTTCAAAGCATATAGCAATAGAACAATAATATTACCATATGATGACACTATTAATAATAATAGTCTTGTTTACATTATGCTCTGTAAAAGTAACACAATAACTTTTGCTACTCAGCGAATTGTTTACAAGCGATATATATACATATTGTATAAAAAGAGAGAAAGGGACCGTGAAAATGAAAGAAAACAATACTTCGACATCTGTGAATCCAAGGTAAAATAAATATTTTAGTAGTTAAAGTTTTATACCTATTATAAAGATTTCTATAGGGAAATTCTCGTGTGTGTGTGTGTGTGTGTGAAACACAGAAAGCATTATAGAGACTCAAATTATTAGCTTAAAATCTTGATATGTCTCATTTTGAACAGTTGTTCACTTTATTTCATACTATTTAATCTTTTTCAAAGTATTCATTTCAGTTACATTTAATGTTTATGGTTATTATCATCTTCATTAATAAAAATAATATTATTGTTATGGTTATTTTGCACTTAATTTTATTGAAAAAAATTACCTTGGAAACTCTGATTTGTTTTTTCGCTCTTTTCATTTTCTTCTAAGTCGATATGTAAATTTTTACCTCTTAATTTGTTTTATTTTCATTCCTTCCCTCTTGAACTTATATTATTATTTTATTCCTCATAAACAAACAAAATGGTAGGTAGTAATTACATGTAGTTTCTCTGTTTGTAAATAGACCAACTTTTTCTTCACTCGGAAACGAGTGAATATAACTACGAACTATATATATATATATATATATATATATATATATATATATATAGCGAACAACTGACGCTAAAATGTCATCACTCTGAATTATGTAGTCGATTATACAAAATACTAAATTAAAAGAATGTAATGTTACAGTTACTATACGCATTTTCTTTCTAATGATTATTTTTTCTATGAAAACACCCACCCGATTACAGATCTGTTCATGTGTACAACATCACCCACTCTAGTGGTAAATCAGTTGATGACATCCATCTTCCACCTACAAGCATAATAGTTTTCCTGTCCTGTTGTCACCTTACGTATCTCCATATTTGTCTGTATGCATGTGTATGTATGTGTGCACAGCTATTAACTCTTATTTGTACCTTCTATGCCATGGTAACTAAAATATTTTGATAAAAATATTTTCTACTATAACATTGGGAAAAAATAGTTCAGTAGTAGTAATTGTAATAGCTACATTTTTCCCATCTCCTTTATTCTTAAACACACCCACACAGAAATTCCTCGTGAAAATAGAAACAGAATTATCTATTCATAGTATTTTCCCTTTGTTCAGTTTAACGAAACAAATATACACTGAAATATAGTTAAGTATAATAACTCGTATATCTATGTATCTATGTATTTCTGTAGATAATTGTCAGCGCGCCTGTTGTTTGCAATTATTATTCAGTTTTCACTTATGCATTCTGAAAAATAACTAGCTTATTATAAGAATAAGAATAGAATTTCATCCTATTTAATAGCAAACACCATCATCATCATCAACGTCGTCATGTTTATTACCTCTCATTTAACTCTAATTACAATGATAACTGATGACCAGATACCCTAAAGGAATCACTTTATAAAAGTTTTTTTATATAAAATAACAATATGTTATACAATTGTCACATTAATAGCTAACATAAATTGGAATTAAAGTCAATAATACACAAATCAATGACTTGTTATTCGGAATTAAATTACATCGTGTAACATGTCATTTTAACATTAGTTATACACTTGAAACATATTTCAGGAAAAAAACAAGTAGTATGTAAATACTGTGTCAATATTTCTTCCTTCTTTCTTATCTTATTTTCTTAGGAAGAGCATGTTATTGCACCTGGTTCACATGGACAGTGTCTACTATGGGCATGTAAAGCATGTAAGAAGAAAACAATGCAAGTTGATAGGAGAAAAGCTGCAACAATGCGTGAACGACGTCGTTTACGTAAAGTTAATGAAGCATTTGAAACATTAAAAAAACGTACATGCGCTAATCCAAACCAACGTATGCCAAAAGTGGAAATTTTAAGAAATGCTATAGATTATATCGAAAATTTAGAAGATATGTTACAACAGAATGGCGTTATACCAATGGGTATGACACCGTTAACATCAGCATTGAATGTAGCTACTACATCTCAAAATGATATTAACAAGAGTAGTGCAATTAACCGTATGACTCAATGCAATTCATCTGCAACAACTTCTGCAAGTAGTTTAAACAATTATCATCATTCTAATACATCTATAAAACAACCAAAAACAACTATCAACAATAAATATGGTAAAGAACAAAATGAAACATCTTCATCACTGACAAATCAACCCCATTTATCTAATAATAACAGATGCCTATTAACTTATACATGTTCTCAAGATAGTCCTAATTTATCGAATTTCAGATGTGATTTTAATTTAGAAAATGGGAATAGACATGATTCTACAGATTCTCTTACAGATTTATCACTTGGTAGTTTACCGACAGAATGCAGACCTGAAGATCAACTAAATACAATGCATAATTCAATATGTTCCCTTATTCCAACAACAAAGGTAAGTGTTTCAGTCAATTTTATTTAATATATCATTTATATATATTATGAGAATATTTGTTGCATATATTAACTCTCATTATGTTTATCAGTGGTAAAACATTTCAGAAGAGGCCCCTTTAATGAAAAGTTTAAGTCATCATAATTAATAATTCACTTCAGATAAGAACATTTTGGTCGAGAAGTATGTTTTTATTACTAAAAATTAGATACCATTATATCAGAAGAGTTTGTGAAGATTTTAGTAATTTTATAGTTCAGTTCATAAGTCAATTGAAACTAGACCACCATGGAAAACCTGAAAGCACAGGATGGCCGTTTTGTCCTAGTCTGGGACTCCTCAGCAGTTTGTTACCGATTCGTTCTAATAAAAATTATGATTTCAATGTATTTATCTAAATCAAGTCCTTAACGAAATAGCTAACTTACTATGAATTGTCAGCTTTAACTTAAGAGTTCGTCTAATTAACTAACTCTCACAAGACTCATATGATCTTACAGTGTAAAATGATTGACTAAATATAGTTTTTTAAGAAATCCCTCCCATACAGTAAAATCAATCAGTATATTTGAAAATTGAAATGATACGATTGATTAGTTTATCTGAGGTCCGTCCAAAAATATCACACAATGCATAACCTGATAATTTCACTAACAATCACATACATAATACATAATACATGGAAAAAGGAAAGACAAACAATACTTTATCTCCGCATCGATAAATAAATTTGTACTTTTCACCAAGTTGGCATTAAGGTTGAATAGACAATCTGCTTTTTTTCAACAAAAACAAAACATTATTACTGATTCCTCTGGTGACCAGTTCGGATACTGTGATGATATATATACATATGTATAGGGAGAAACATGCTTGACTAGTATTGTTTACCACATTGTCTATAAAGCATTCTTTATTTGTTTTTGTTTTTTTCTTCTGTTCTTATAATGAAAAATGATATTTCGACTACTAGAAGTTGACAACATTTATTAAATAGGTAGGAAAAACAAATAATTCATTTACGTTTACATTCATAAGAAGAGACCATAACTTTGTCATTACCACTGAAAAAAAGGAATGATGTTATGCATTAATCTACATTCAATCTTTATTAGAATTAATGTTACTTAGTTAGTTAGTGATGTAGTAAATAATTTCTATTTTCTACATTTTACATCTATACAATATGAAAAATAAAGGGTTATATTCATCGGTAGGAGGCAAATGAGTTAACGTATTTTCTTTACCATACAGTAAGGTATTTGTTTTTTTCTTTAGCTAAATTATTTTGTAAAAAAGGAATAGTTCATTAACATTCGGTCATTCTGTCAACAACATAAATTTTTGAAGGGGGGGGGTGAAAAGCATTATTCGACGTTTAGAATAAATGTTCTCTTTTCTTCCAAGATGTAAAACTTCTTACAGATGATGATAACAAATGTAGTAGTTATTAATTGTAGGAATAAATCTAGAAGATCAAATTGTAAATAAGACATTTATTATTATTGTTATTATTATTCTCTTTCTCACTTGTTACTTTATTTAAATGTCCTTTCTTTTTACTCTTTATTTCTCTATTAACTAAATTGAATTGGAAAGAGAATAAGAGAAAGATAAAATCAAAAACAACGACAACAACAAAAAAAAGAGAAACAGAGTTGTAAATTGTCGGTGCATCATTTCTTAATGTCAAAGAATGTTGTATATTTATCATATTCATTACTGATCTCCTGATATAGTTAGATATTTATTCATATGTTTTACTTAAATGTTATATTTATCTATATTTTGTGTATATTGAATAGACAGTTTAAATAGATTGTATGTGATGTAGAACTATTCACTTACATATAATATTAAATGATTTATTAAAGTTGACTGTGGCGAAAGCCGAAAAAAATATGAAAGAAATGAGATAGATTGATTATATAGTCAGGGATATGTTGATTCGATATATGGATAAGCTATCTATTTTTCTTTTTCTCTCATATGTATGGATTGTAAATGTCCACGTGGAGAAATTATAGAAAATTCACATGTATCCATAACTATGTATATTCATTTTCAATTAAGTAAGAAAGATAAAAAGAAAAAAGTGAGGGTGGATAAAGATCTGAATAAATATGAATAGAATATGAATAATCCACTTGTTATTCATAGATCAGTGTTTCAATTTGTTTCTTTGTTTGTTTGTTTTTCTCTTATATATACATGAATATATATGTGGCTTAAAATGAAACTTTTCCATAACTATTCGTTATCAGAATAGACAAGCGAAAATAAAAAGAACATCAATATAGGATATATATTTATCAGACTATCATTGTATAAATCATTTTCCTAATTTGTTAGTTATATTAAAGAGAATAAACTAGTAAAATCTTTCAAAAATTGATCTACAGTGAAATGTATATCTTTTTTTGTTGTTGTTGTTCAGTTATCGTTGAGATTATCATTTACAGAATAAAGGAAAACATAGAAAGAGAGAGAGGGAGGGAGAAAATTTATGTGGTTTCAGTAGATCTGGACAATTAATTAAATTTTCAGTAAATAAATATTAAGATACATGTTATTTGAACTCTTAGGTCAATGTATTACACTAAGTTGAATACTAAAACAGGTGCTCTTCATTTTGTACATGTCAAGTGGATACTTCCTCTCTCACATAAACTATATGGATATCTGATACTCTCATTAACATCAATGTTATTATTAATACTGTGATAGTAATAAGTGTTTATAAGATGAATTCCATGTAAAATCAGTCAGTTATTAATATTACACCTATGATTATGATTACTGTTAGCATTAGTTCTATCCATGATATTTCAGTTCAATATTCACTGAAATTAATGTCAAACGTTTGTGAAATCCCATGTACTTCGCCTGGGTTACATACTAACCCTTATCCGACACATCGTTGATAAATGTTTTTAACAACAATCCAACCAGTGATAACTAAAGCCCTATATATAGGCATCACGAAGTTTGTGTTAACACTATAAATGACCGTCTACTAGAAAGCTTAATTTTTATGCACGAATCAATTACATACAAGCTAAAGGACAGAAATTAATTAACAGTACGTCAGTACTCATTAGCGCAAATCAATCATTTTAAGATCACTAGGTTTTTTTACAAACATTCAAGTGTTTATCCCAAAGATGAAAGGTTGAATGGTTGGGCAAAACCATGAATCGATTGAAGGTAGACATTAACACCGTTGAATACCGAATTAGTGGTCTAGAGGTGAATCGTTCGCACGTGAGAAGGAAGGTCATAGGTTCGAGTCCCGCAGAGAAATCGTGGGTGCTCACTGCTGAGTCCCATACTAGGATGAGATGGCCGTCCAGTGCTTCCATGTTATCATTTCCTTACACATCTTCTTTCAGACAAGAATGAATAGTTTTAATTCATTATAACGATAAATACTACTTAGTTCTTCTTGATATATATGACAAAAGATAATTTCGAAATAGTTTCCAGTATGAAAAATCATTAATTCAGTGAATAATTTAATAATGAGAGAAAGGGTCCGCTAAATAATTATACTTGCCTATTTTTAATATTTTACATTACAGTTGAAATATGTATACTGAGATCTAAATGATAACACGCATTAGCTTTATGTAGTTTCTGTAGTCAAATCACGTAATTATTTCAGTATATCGGATGAGTTTAGAGCTACAATAGAACAGCTTTCAAATATCACTCGGTTTTTGATCGTATTTAGTTTTTTGTATAAACTAATTTTTCAATCTCAATAATTTATAAAGTTGAAATCTAAAGTTATATTATGGCATCAAAAAACGAGAAATTTATGATGAGCACTAATTAGACTCTGTCTAAACTGATAGTTACAACTATTCAAGCATGGATAACCTGTTCATTTCTGTACAAGTGCCGTGTCCATCTGTAAACTGACCACATTTTCATTCTGAGTTATGTATGGCTATATTAACGAAGTATTTTCTAGTATGTATAATCAACGCTGAAATATTTCAAATAATGTAACACCGGTGAATGGAAGAAAACATTGGGAAGCCCCTAAATTTACACTTTCAGTATGACGTACCTTCAAGCATAGAGAAGTTGGTTTTCCCGAGATGGAATTTTAACTAGTGTGACCCAGTTTCACAGGAAAATGACTTTTTGACTACCATATTCTGAACGCAACTAACTGAGTTTTATGTTTCTTAAATAATACTATCAAAACATATGAGCTGGGATTATCCACAGTGTTTGCAATATTCAATAAGGGAATTGCATCCAGAACTTTTATCCACTTTTCCATTTACTAAAAAATTTATTTCAAGAGTCTGCAGTTATCTGCAATTTTCTACTGTGATCATGTAAATGTAGCGTATTACAACATATTGGATAAAACGAACAAATATAGCGAAGCTGGTGCTTGAAATGAAACCTTTCATAAAAAACTGAACTGATAAATTTTCCGTTCGCTTACCCAATAAACAGAAAAATACCCTGGTTATTAAACGTTGAAAACGTTATGGATAAATTAAGCCACACGAATAGATCATTTACATTATTAATTCTCATTATTATTTCAATCTGATAATATCGTAAATTAAGGTTTATCTCTCTATATTTAAACAGGAATGAAATGTCGAAATGATTTAGTCTAACTTGATATTTTGATAATTTTTTACAGCTTTTCTTTTGATATATTTTATATTACAGGATTCTAAATTAATCGATTTTAACAGTAATTATTCACAGACAACCACGTGGAATATGTGTACACCTTACGAAACGCTGGATAGTTTAAAAACCGGTGATCAGGCACAACCTAGTAAGTATATATACATAAATAATGTTATTCCAGTTTTGCTTTAACTTCTGCATTTAAATTAAACATTTGCAAATATTAGTTGACTGAGTGATTAAAACTATTTAGAATAATTTGCCTATTAATGAACTGTGATATTTTTTTTAAAAAAAAAGGATGAATGTAAGTAAATCATTTAATGTCTGAGTTTATGACGAAGAAAACTGTAATAAAATTATAAAAAGAAATCTGGAGACACAGATTGTTAAATAATTATTATATTCAACTTAGTGAATAAATTTTGGATTAGTTTTTCAAGTTCCTTTAGGAAGGTATAACCTTTGTTACACCAACCAACTCAGAAATGAGACAACAACAACACACTGATGAAATCTAATGGAAATTCAGCTATATATTTTGCAAATAGATTAAAGTTGAGAACGTGAACTATTGTGTCCTTAATATAATTCAAACAACATTGTGTAACTAAGAGATCTGAATATGTGGGAGATGAATTTTGAATGAATACTGTTGAGGAACCCCGATTTGAGACAAAATTATTATCTTTTAAACCTATGATTTCCATTGGTTTCTCGGTTGATATCATTCTTTTAAATGAAGATTACTTTAACGAAAATTAGGTATCATTATTCTTCACATTTCATCTTATTTCAATCAAGCTACATTATGATAACAATTGGAATAACGTCCAAAGCGACGTTTACTCTAACTTATTTAAAATCATCTTTTATGCACTAGAGTTGATAGATAGAAACTATCACACCTAGCTCTTTGAAAACAATTTATAAAAGATGTGCTGTTATATGTGAAGTTCCATGTTGTTTTAAACCTTCGTAAAAGAGTATGTATTTTATTGCTGAGATCTCTGGTTAAAATCAAATTCTATGCCGCGTTTTAGAGGAAACATTAAAAAAATATAGATTTATAATAAATACATCTTCAATCTGATATCTAATTTAACCCCTTTCTAATTAAAGTATGAACAATGTTGAAACTGACTATGGTAAAATAATTTGACATAAAGTTGATTATTATATTAATCAAAAAATTCATTGAGAACGAATATTGAGTACATAAACAAACCTTCTTTATAATAAAAAACAAAACAATCAAAAGTTTTATTAGAAAACATAACAGCAATCATAAGATCATCTGTTTTAGTTCTTAACTGAAGATCTTTAATCTGTCTTAATTTATATATAAATAAATAAATAAACACACAGGTGTATACATCAGTGAACGTAAATAATCTTAAATCTTTTATATCATTTATTCATTATCTTTATGGAAAATTCAATATCCCAAAATTCACCTGTTTATGTATTAAGTAGTTGTCATTTCATTCTGTATACAATAATCATTATGCATAGTATACACAAATATGCATATACAATTAATTTTTTTATACTGTTCACTTTTTTTCCCAAGAAATACACGTAAATACGTGCAAATACACACACATGCACACTTACACATGTGCGTACACACACACAAACACGTACACCCAAATAAGTTTGGGAAATATTGTGAGTAAATATTTCAATTTGATAGGCACCGATTCAACCACTAAGTACACATAAATAGTAAATAGGGCATTCGATAGGTTATTAGTGTGTGGATAAATGATCAAGAAACGAATATCTGTGTGTATAAATTAATGTATGGTATAATAATAATAATAATAATAACAATGGTAATAGTAATAAATAATACTAATACTAAAATGATGGAATTGCGTCTTGATTATATGTAAAAGTAATCAGTACTAAGATTTCAAATTGATGGAAAATCCAGAAGTTTTTAGAATTAAATTAATTGTTATTCATTGATTAAGATAGAATAAAACGGAAAGATAATGACAGACCCTTAAATGAATATTAAATAAAATTCCAATTCTAATAGTGATCCAATGAAGAAACCATTATTATTATTACTATTATTATTATTATTCTCGATGATAGTTTAAAATAATTAATTAATATCCAGTGGTTTTCAAATTACTTGTCTGTCATGACTAGTGAATAAAACATAAAACAAAAGTTCTACTGTTTACTTTTAAGGGTAGTTAAAATTTATTTTATATTGAAATCATGAACCGATTGATGTTAGACCACCCTTTAAAACCTGGAAGCACTGGACGGCCGTTTCGTCCTGTTGTGGGGCTCCTCAGCAGTATACATTCACGATCCCGCCTGGGGGATTCGAACCCAGGGCCTTCAGTCTCGCGCGCAAACGCATAACCTACCGAACCATTGAGTTGGCATCTAATGGTGTTAATGTATAACCCCAACCAAACCACGAAATCGCGCGATCATCTTCCATTATAACGAGGTAGATACATGTCTCTAGCCGACCCGGATTAGCTTCAGTGGTCACGGCTTCTCACTAGAACTCCGAGGATTCCCTCACTAAGCTAGTCATTAGTGAGCACATGGTAATTATCAGTATAGGGGTTGTGATTTCAATCTAAAACTTAATAATCTCCACAACCCCTATACTGAAAACCTTTTTTTCAATATCATGTTGACTATCAATAGGGTAGAGTAATAATATTACTCTTAGATAAATGTTACCATTATTTAATAGAGAGTGTTTTGTGGAAAGATTTGCACAGATTAAAGATGATTTTTTATCATTAACTGATAACAGTTCAAGGAAAGTTGGAAATCAGGAACATTATACAGCCGTTTATTCCTATTTTTGAACGATTTGTTGAGGTCCTAAAATGAATTCAACTGGACAGAACGCATAATCTTAAGATTTGTCAATAAACATGATACTTTTGGACTATTGAGTCGTAATTCAGTAGTGTACATTTTTTAACATGCGTGTCATAGTTATTTATGTTACTTTAAGACATTCAACCGGGTTGATGGTCAGAAATTATTTTGAAATGTCACATTATAGATTGACTATATTAAGGAAACTATTGAAAACTATGAAGTACCAAGGATCTATTTCGTTTTTATTCTGATCTCTCTATCGGAGGTCGAATCCAGGACTTTCATGCCTCACTGTGAACGTATCTAATGGCTTAGATTCTTAATTTGACTCAATTCATGATATTCCCGTACCATCATCTATGATCATCGACAAAACAATATCCTAGCTTCAATTAATTTTCTTTGGTTGTCTAAGTCAAATCACTTTGTAATGTCAAGCTCCGAATTCAACAATCTCCATAATAGCACAAAAACAGCATAGACTAATGTTATCCGGGAAAGTATTGACAACTAGGAATTTTTTGCTCTGTATTTTGAGATATTGTAGCAGTGAGTATTACTAATTGCCTATAAGGTTACTGCCCAGAATCATGAACGTTTTACAAGTAAAGAACTCTGTGTGACGTTAGTCACATAAGTAAAGAGACATGATATTTAACATTCATTTCCATGCCACTCTGTCTATTGCGTGCTCCCAGTAAATTAGAATACCTTAATCAAACAACAGTATGCTTACTACAAGACTTGAAGCTCCTATACTGAATTCTGTATGAGACCAAGGTGTAAAATATTATGAAACTTCAATGAAATATATCTTTAGTGTCTTCTTGCTGTCAGTGGTTATCCAATTAATACTATTCCATTGTAAAGATTGTTTCAAAACTGACTACTACATTACTACTACAATAAAAAGGGACATTTTAAGGTCATTTGAGCCAGTGAAAAATAATCACTGTATTTCTTGAAGACACTGAATTCCACCGAACATAGATTTCATGAAAATAATGTTAAATTTAATAAAATAAACAATAAGACTTTCGGACATTAGACATTAAACCAGCAAGATAATTTAAAAATAGTTTTATTTAGTAAAATGACTATTCAGTGTCATAATCTTTCACTTAAAACTTCACTAACTTCTCTTTTCTTATCATTAAATCAATATAACCGCTCACTAGAGATGTTGAATAATGATTGACTACGGAATCCAAGAAACACACTTCATCTAATTCGGATTCATCGGTTGGATGTATCATCATTTATAATAAGACAATAACGAGACCTTTCATTCATGATCCACCCAAGTCAGGAAAAAAAAGATAAATTGTAATTATTAACAAAATTAATGGAAAATGAAAAACTTTACATGTAAAATGGCTAATTAAGGTTTAATCTTTCAACAACATATACACACACCAAGAGGAGCAACATAACAGAGAAATAAATTATATCAATCATAACAATAATAAAATGTTTGAAAGAGAAATAACACAAACTGTATTTAACAACAAGCAATATACATATATGTAACTTATAAATGAAGAATATATGGGAAATCAATGATTGACACTTTAAATATGATTAATATACATGAAGAATTCTAATTTGTTCTCTACTCATGTGTGAATATATATAAGGAAACTTAAAGATGATTTAGGCAATATAAGAAATAGAGAGAAAAAAAGAAAATGTTAAACTAATTATTTATTTTACCGTATTATAAATAACAAAACAGATAACAATAATGTGAATCATCATACTAATTGTTAAATTAAATGAACTAATTAATTTGATAATTTCTAAATTCTACTAATTAAAACAATTAAAATCATTTAAATATGTTGGTTATATCATTTCTGAAAAAGAAAAGAATACACTCAAGTATATAAATCATCTATAGTATACAATACTTACTTATTTACTTACGCCTGTTACTGCTAATAGAGCATAGGCCGCCGACCAGCATTCTCCAACCCACTCTGTCCTGTGTCTTCTTTTCTAGTTCCATCCAATTCTTGTTCATTTTTCTCATGTCTATTTCCATTTCTCAGCGTAATGTGTTCTTTGGTCTTCCTATTTTCCTTTCGCCTTGAGGATTCCATGTGAGGGCTTGTCTTGTGACGCAGTTGGGTGCTTCCCTCAATGTGTGTCCTATCCAATTCCAGCGCTTCTTTCTCCGCTGGGATCTGTTTTGTTCTCTCCCACAGTACGTTGTTGCTAATAGTGTCCGGACAACAGATCCGAAGTATTTCGCGTAGACAACTGATAATAAACACCTGTATTTTCTGGCTTTCGTTGTTTTCCAGGCTTCTGTCTCATACAGTAGAACTGTCTTGACAATAGTATACAATAGTAAATTGTAATTTTAAGTTTTTAAAAGTAGTCAATGTAAAATGCTACTACTATTGATTACAGAATTAACACATTTTTATAAATGACAGATAACTCCTAATAACAAGTATCGATTAACGTAAAACCTATATCTAAGATTTTTTGAACATGGTGATTATAATATTGAATCTCTTAGACTAGAAAATATTTTGTAACTTGGTCAAATGAAATTCCATCAATATCCAATGCTTTAATGGATAATAAACTTTTTTTCTTCTTCTTTTAGTTATTATTTAAAATAATAATTCAATTTATTTCTATTTCATTTACAGTTTTAGTATCAGACAATCGAACTACTTTACAATGTAATAAAAGTATTGGGATTCCATTAGCTGGACATTAATCTAGTCAAATGAAATGTTGAATGCTTCAATTAAAGAAAATAACAAAAAACCTAATGTATTTAAACAAGAGTTTAAATACAAAAAAAAAAACAATACTTTATACATATATATATTTCGATAGTGAAGTCTATCGTAACTCTAATGGTTACTATCCATATGGGAAATTTCCATTGAATTCCATTTATTAAAATAGGAAAATTTTTATTTAAAAGGAAATTGAATTCTGTACATAATTTTTAATTAAATTAATTATCTTGCAAAAATATTTTTAAAAAAACATTATACAATTTTATATTTTGGAACGATGTACCATTAATGCTAATAACTGATTATAATCATTAATAAAAAATAAAAAATAAAGTAATATATTTAATATATTTTAAATTCTTTAAATATCAAAAAGAAAGATTAAAAACAGATGAAGAATTATCAGTGTAGGGTTGTGAAGATTATTAGATTTTTGATTGAGATCATGGACTAATTGATGTTAGAGCACCATTGAAAACCTGGACGGCCGTTTCATCTTATAGTGGAACTCCTCAGCAGTTTGCATCCAAGCACCATGAAGCTATGAAAGTTGATTTGTATTAGCTTTAAACTCTTCAACATTGTACTGTTGTATACATATTCTACGTATACTCAGTTGTCTTATATCTAGAAGGGTAATATTTTTTGGTGTTACAGTAGGTTGATAGAAAGTTTAAGTATACCAAACCAAGACATGGTATCATTCCATAAAGTCACTGATTGTTGAGTTGAACCATATTGGTTACTGGAGACCACTGGTTTAGATTTCACATGATTATTGTAGAGAACGGTTGGGGATATTTCGTGAAATGGATTACTTTAGTTACACTTACTATTAGTTTTCTATTAAGTTTTATGTTTAAAAAATATTTTATAATTTCTGTCCTACGAATCCATCATAACCTCCAATACTTAAACTTTTTATTACTGCTGATTCCGTTACTACTTTCATTACTCCTAAATTTGTTCTGATAATTTCTTCTCGTTTAGTCGATATGATGCGGAAACTTGAACTAATATACTGATTTAACGTTGCTTATCAATAACTAATTGACATCTAACTAAAAATCATATCCATATATCTCCTGGGATTAGGATACTTTTTGATTATTGAGTTGGTCTCCAATGGTCTACACATTTAATTTCATTCCAAAAGTACTGTATTCATTTAATGAACTGGATATCTACAAATTTATTGCGAAGTGACCATCCATTTATTAGTTGACTGTCGTGTCTTAGTCTCTGAAATATTCGACTAATTATCCAGCTAAATCATTTAGTTTGAATTCTGTTGTTACGTAGATTTTACTTCAAATCCATGTATTATCTCGGTATACAAAACCAAATCAACTATTCAAAGTGATTTTGAATAATTTAATCATTAATACGTCTCATTTTTTAAAGTGAAGAATATAAAAAGGTATTTTAAAAATATCCCAAGGAAGTAAATAGGAAGTTCTGATTTAACAAACTTCATTTCCAGTTTACCTACATAGGAAAAATATTAATTATAACTCTTCCGCAGGTTTTAAACTAATTTATCTTAGTATTGGAAGGGATTTTGTGGAGGTTGTAGTAATTGTTAAAGTTGAGATCATGAGTCAATTGATGCTACACCACCAAGGAAAACGTAGAAACACTGGACAGCCGTTTCGTCCTATTGTGGGACTTGTCAGCAGTGCGCATTCACGACTCCGCCTCGCAGGACTTGAACCCAGTGGAGTTCAACCGGGCCTGTTGTGAGACAGTAACTCACTATTGATAATGGTGGATGTGTCGCTCAATTTCGTGAATTAGTTAAAGTTAGACATTAACACTGTTGGGTATCGGCTCAGTGGTCTACTGGTTAAGCGTTCGCGCGCGAGGCCGAAAGGTCCTGGGTTCAAATCCCGCGAGGCGGGGTCGTGGATGCGCACTGCTGAAAAATCCCACGACAGGACGAAACGGTCCTCCAGTGCTTCCAGGTTTCCCATAGTGGTCTAGGTTCAAATGACCCATGATCTCAACTATTGTAATTTATCTTAGCATCACATACAAGGATTAGTACATTTACCCAAATAGAACATTTAATAATGAATGTCTTGTAATCAGTAATAGTATCATGTAAATGAGTTTATTAGTTATACTGAACTTCATAAATGAGAGAATTCTTTATTGATTCTCGAAACTAAAACATTGTTATGTTGGATATTGAGTGGAAAGTTATTATATAATGAAAAATTTAATGAAATTATTATACAGAATCCTGTTTGTTATTTTTGTCAACAAAGATTTTTTCTTCTGCATAATACTCCATTTGATAGTTAATTTACATCTTAGGAAAATTTATGAATAGAAAAGTATACATCATATACGTAAATAAATTTGTTGATTCGTATGTAAGTAAATGATCGGTAAAAAATAACTTAGAATATTCTACCTTGACATCTGTACCAACATTTACCATTAGTAGCAAATGAACTAATGTTGTGGTAACATTTCATGCAGTGTAACAATATACCATGTGTAGCTGAGCAACAGATATGAATACTGATCAGAAAGTTACCCAACAGATATTAATGATTTGTATAGATCATTATTTCATTTGAAGATGATGTAAAAAAAACTCCAAAATAAATAGATTTGTAGAAACATTTGCTACTAATGGTGACCTTATTAGTTTTAGTAATAAAAAAATACTACTATATAAAGCTACTTTGCTAAACATTCCGGTCATATTTCGGCACAGTCTATGTGAAATACTTCTATATTGGATACCTAAGTTGAAGGTCTCACATCCTTCTATTTGTACCCACGTTTAATTGTATTTACAATAACCATTATAGTCCTTTTCCACGTTCATCTTCAGGGTATAATCGTTGATGCATCTAGAAACCGCTATGGTAGAATCCTATTGTATCCAACGTATCTTAAATACTTACTCTCTCTCTCTCTCTCTCTCTCTCTCTATCTCTCTCTCTCTCTGTTTACACCTCCATTGTTACAGTTTTACTCAAGTACATAATCGAAAACTAGCTGATATTTTATCACAGAATTGTATGAATCATACTTTCACTATCTACTATTTGAAGATATTATATTCAGTGTGATGAATATACATTTTATCTGCACTAAGTTGGTCTACGAATAACAGTGAACAGCATTCTATTATAGAAGTCAAGAAAAAACTCGAATTATTCATAGTTCGTTCAGTATATACTGACTCATTCATTTGAAGTTTACTTACAGAATACAATGAATAAACTGAACAATATGGTGTGATATGTCAGTAAATTACATTTAATTAACATCATATAACCATACAACAACTAAAATGGATTAATCCTAATGGTTAATTATCGGTTGTTTGTAAATCAAATTGAAAAGCTTATAGAAACTATAAATCTTTAGATGGGCGCTCATCCCCTTTTTCCAAACTCATTTGAAGGGCATATTCTAGTTACCTTCGTAAGTCAAACTCAAATGTAATAATAAACATATTACTGTAGAGAGACTATCGAGAAAGTTAACAGTCCTTCAATCAATCAATAATACCCAGTATTTGTCTTCAAACTAGGTTCTATAGTGTAGATAATACTAATAAATACTGGGTAACTTCTTCAGGATATATGCACATGGAAATGCACGCAAAATTAATAAGCTAACATTGAATATGAATAGAAAAAAATAATTAAAAATTTTTTTCGTTACACTGAATACTATTTCACAGTTCGATAATAAATTCGTTGAAATGGGATCTCTCTGTTGAATTTTGTATTGTTAATATTGGAATGGGAATTATATATCTCTCCTTAAAATGTCAAGATTTCTTTTTTTCGGATTACGACTTTCAGTGAAATTGAATATGAGGTTTTGCTTCATTTAGAGTCCGTCATTTGGAAGTACCTGGGTCTAGTGTTATTACTCATAGTGAGGCTTTGACTTAGTACCCTTCAGTTCGAATAAGAACTTGCTATTCACATATCTATTGGGTCCTCAAAACCACTAACTTGTTCAAGGACTATGAAATTCCATGTACTTAAGAGATTGTAATTTTCCATTGTAATTCCATTGATTAGTCCTGCAATCTAACCATCTTGAAATGTTTTTAAATTTATAACTTTATGAAAACAATCCGCTCGCGATACGTATATTATAATAGAAACAAATCAAGAGTAGTCTCAAGTATCGTCAACAGCTTACGTTATAATCTTTATTTTACCATAATTCATTTCTCAATATTTAACCTTCTAACTTTACAACTAACGGATATTCTTCATCTAAGTATCATAAAGTTCATTTTTATCAACTATAATGATAATTAGAGATAATAGACAATGTGATAGTACGCAATGATTGAACCCGTCTTTCTCTGTGTGTGTTTGTTTAAACCTCAGATAATAATTAACGTCCATACTCTGTCATACCATTTACTTTAGCGACTGATTTTATTAACCATGTGAGTATAGGCAATTTTTACTACAAATTAATTTCCATTGATTAATTAATTAGTATTTATAGACGTAATTTTGTGACTTTTGATTAACGTGTACACTCACTGCTTAAAGTAATGTTTTAAAGTAATGTGAGGTAGATAATCACAGAATTTATCGAAACTAAGAAATGAATAAGTAAAAATTATCACTATTAACTATGTGGCAAGCCCATTTGGCTACTGTATCATTTATCTAGTCATTGTAACTCAGACTCAATTCACTATGTTAATTTCGGTGTGTATGATCGAATGTATGTCTGTACATTAACTCTTAAGCTATCTTCCTATTGGTTTCAATGTGCAGATAATCGATAATCTATTCACACCCGATTAACTCTCAAATATATATGGATTTTTAACAGACTCACACACTCACTCTGTTTTATCGTGTGCTTGCTCACCGTATGCTTGTGGATTATTTATTATTCATTAACAGTAAACTATCTCTATAACTGGTATTCAGGCTTTTCAATAATCTCGAGTAAATTCGCAATTCAA